GCAGAGCTGAGAAAAAGGACCTTTTTTTTTCTTAGCTGCTGGTATATGCAAAGATCTCATCGGTTATGACGATCTTTCAATGTGTGATGTACATTCACGCAACATATACGAAGCTTCGTCGAAAGACGATTTGATTAACTCTGCTGAGCACTGTAAACTTGTGCAGATGAAAATTTCTATTTTTTTATTCATTAAAAATTTATGTCGAATTATTATTATACAAAAAATTTGATCTCAAAGATTTTAATAATATATGTATATTATTCATTAACATGTATTTTTTTTTTTTTAAATAAAGCCCTTTGAAATTATTCAAAAAGACAGTTTGTCATTCCTTACGTCAAGTTTACACAAAACTCTAATGTAGGTGGGTAAACATCTCAAGTAACAAATTGCTTATTTACCTTCATCAATCAAACGTAATGAGGGGGTGAGCGAGTGACTTGTTATTTGACTTAGTACCTCACTATCAGCCCCACGCATTCGTGATTGTAGGAAAGAAGAAACCCCAAGATTATATATTTCTCTGGAATATATTTACCGAAACACACCGGTTGTTCTTAACTCAAAGTTAGTTAACTCAGAGACTGCAGTTGAAGCTAAGAAAGGACCTATATAAGAAGGACAGAGCGCATTAATAACGTATGCACCGCACAGCTGGTACCTCGGCCTGTTTTGTTCTTCTCTTGGCGCTACAGGTTCTTGAATTTCACACACGCCGAAGCACGCGCGATAGGGTTGCTTTTGGCTCTTCTCCTCGCTGCTTGCACATTCCCTTTCCCTGTCACTCTCTCCCGATCTTCCGTTCGTTCTCACATCCCCGTCGGAGGAACCCCCTATTGTTTTATACAGCGAGACCAGTTTTTGTTTCATTCTGCCTACCTCTTCGCTTCTCTCTCCCTCTCTCGCTCTGTCTCTTTACGGCTTATTATATGCGCTTTCGAGCGTTCCGTTTGTGCACGCCGATTGTTCGCACGGGCTAGACTTCGAACCTGATTCGCTGCGAGCGTTGCGGAGAAAGAAGCGAAAGAGGGTCGAATGGATCCGGTCAAACGGCGCGAGAGCAGAACGATGGCCGAGAAAAAAATGAGACAATGAAGGGGTTAAAGTTGATACAATTGAACGAGAAACGTCGCCGCGTCGGTACGCGCCTGATTTATTTTCGCAGTCACCCCTTTGCCTTCCGACCCCGTCTTCACGCGCGGGAACATCGCGGTCCATTGTTTTTCCGGCGCGGGAAAGCGAAATCGAAAAAAAACCTCGTGACGATTTAAAAATGCGAGGCACGGCTTCGTAATATGAATCATTGCCCGTAACTAACGGAAGCGTTTTGTAATGAGAAAATTATTTCGTCCTGGACATGCTGCATTAGTTGACACGTATGAATACGAAACGCGAGATATGTATATTTGTAACAATGATATGATGATTTTTTTACAAAGAAATATACCTGTCAAACGTAAATAAATTATAATATTATTACAACTGCTCTATTCCGATCAAACGATAATCTGTTATGCGGGTAATTAAAATGTGTATAATTTATTTCGCGTCTTATAAATATTCCATTTAGCTAGCACAATTCATATATTATCGTATCTCTTTATCTGTATTTAAAGATTTATGCTGACAGCAATTATATTTGTATATTTCTCTATATGAATACTTGATCATATTTATAAAATTAATAATATAATTTTTGATTCGAATCATTTGTCCTGAGTTTGTGACAGATCGTACATATACATCTATCAAATATTCTCGCAAACCTGTTCTGTGCACAAAATGTATATATTTCCTCACACATGTCTCGCATTATAAATAAATGTTCGTCTCTTCCCATGATTGTTTCACCTACATCTTTTTTCTAAAAATTGACAAGCATTATATAACATATGTGCAGTACATCCTCAACAAACCCAATAATATTGTCTTAGTTTACATTCGTGATAAACATCCATCCGTCATTCTCGCTCATCTATTCCACCCACGGAATTCTTTCCTCGCTCGTCCAACGATAATCCGTCATCCCGACACGGCGAGCAGGGGAAATTGGCGGAAGGGGAGGAGATAGAAATTGAAATGCTAAAACCGAAATTGGGTAGGAATTAGGAAAAACGCCACGAGAGATGGGACGGTGTTTACCCGTCGCCGCGCTGGAAGGGCGCGCGAAGGTGGGCCCCATGACGAAGTCGGAGATTTCTCCATCCCTCGTCGCGGGGGTTGGGCGCTGGCCACCCTTCCTTGCCCAGTAAATGCTGCGTGCCCGATGAGGACGAGGGCGATGAGGCGGGGGCACCGTGTTAGCGTGGCAAAAGGGAAGACCAGATCGAAACGTTGGGGGTTGAGGGTTGGCTACGGTGCCGCGTAAATAACTTCCATCTTCGAGGGTGCAGTTCGCCTCTGTAGAAGACGAAGCTGGAAGATGAGAGGGAAAGGAAGGAGGAAGAGAACAACTCTTGAAGCCGAGGGAGAAAAAGAAAGTCCGAACGCGAGGGTGGGAAGAAAGAGCGGAGATGGCATCGGGTTTATAAGGGAGGCAGCGCGGCGACGTCGTTCGGCGTAGCGCGCAGAAGGTAGACGTAAAATATTCTTAATGAGCAAAGACTTTCAAGTATTGACTCAAAATGGCGGACGTCCTTTCAAGGCTCGGCTTGTTAAGCATTATCCCACACCGCGACGGTCTCTTCTCATCCCACGCTCCGCGCTTTTCTTTGTACCAGCTACACCCCGATGTGCTCCCTCTCAGTGTTGCTTCATATTCCGCTGTCCCCATTATTTGACACGGGAATGGTCGGAAAAACTGCGAAGGAACGACGAAAAGTCGATCTTGTTCGATAGCCTCGCTCGTCATGAGCCTTTCAAAAATGGAGCAGTCGATAAAAAAAGAAAAAGTTATATATAATACAAATATATATATTGTGATATTTTACTATTTTTTAAAGAAAGTATTGATTGTTCAATCTGTCGATTTTCATTAAAATGGAATTGTTTGCAAAATCGCTATAATTAATTACATATGTAATAATTAGGAATTTCTACAAGAAAGCATTAAAAGAAATTACCAAGCTTATGTCATTTTTAAATATCGGCATAGTGTTCTATTTTTATTTCATTCAATTTCAAAATTAAAATGAGTCTTTGATCAATGTGAAACCGATTTCTTCTTAATGAAATTCCGAAGCTGCAACAGAGATATAGAAATGATCCAAATTAATGAACCAAAATCACGTTTTTTAATACGAAATAGATTGACTCTTGCTCAAATAAATTTTTTTTTCGATCAAATTCTAATTTAATTTGTTCTCCTTCTCGATAATCTCGCGTCCAAACGAAATCTTAACTATCTTATTGACTCCCGAGGAAGTTTCTTACGGAAGACCCAAATTCCTCGTGGATTCATAGCCACTCTTTGAAAGATGCAGGCTTCCAAGTCCTTTTGCATAGAGGCCTACGCGCGAACGGGTCGCCGAGTGGATTATCTAGAAGAAAGAGGATCAGCGGCCTTGGGGGTACACCTTAAGGGTTGTTAAAACTTGGCTCTCGCTTTGAGCTTTTCTCCTCGTCTATGCGGGGGCCGAAGTAAGGGTTAAAAATGTATAAGATAAGACAGAGCAACGAGATGAAGCTGGGAAGGGGTGAACAAGAGACCGCGTAAGAGTGTACAGGGGGTTGAGAAAGCGGGGAATCGAGTGAGAGACCCCCGTGGAAAAAAAAGGTACAATGAAAAAGAAAGAGAGGAGGAAAACGGGGAGAGAGACAGTGAGGATGGTGAAGAGAAGTTTCATTATTGATCAAAGAAAACCGAGTGTCGCTTCCCTCTCCGATAACTCACTCTATTCAGCCTGTCTTCGACTTTCCATTAAAAATACCAATTTCGTTCGCTTATTTGTAACGCAATCGCGATCTGTATATATGTGTTACATGATGCTGCGACGTATTTTGCGTATACATGGTGATTTAAGAAAATGCTCAAAATATTCATGAAATTAGACAAAAATATTCATATAGCAAAAAACATTATTGAAAACATTTTTTTATTAATCTGTAAAGAAAATCTGCAAACAAATTAAATTTTAAAAATTTTATTAAAAAATTGTTTTATGAAATCCTGATTTTGACGAAAAAGATTTGTAATAAAAAGAAATTATCGCTTAATAAAAAATATATTACTGAAGACGGATTATGTACAAAAAAATTTATTTGCATAATACATAATGTAGTATAATGAAGTTTCTTTCTAAAAACAATTAAATATAGATTAATTTTATAATCTATCATTTCTACTTATCATTTCATATCATATTGCAGAATTTTTGTACATGTTGCGCTAAAATATTTGTGCAAATGCATTTATTTATACTCATACTCATACGTAATATACATATATTATAGCTCATACAATATATAATTTCTCAGGTTTATCTCTATTTTTTGATAAAGAATAATAAATTTTATAATTCTTTAACTTGAAGCTAATCAATTTAATAATGTTGCTTAATTTCATTAATTTTACAATGATATTGTGCTTACTTTCTTTTTATGTAAATGTACAGATCTTATAGATTTTTTAATTGTATAATAATTATATAATAATACAAGATAAATATTTTATAGACAGATATCTTTATATTTAACTTTTAATATTGTTCTAAAATACATTTCATATAACAGATTATTAAATTGCTGTTTAAAAGTTTTTAATATTTTTGAGTTATAAGTATTATATGGTTAGAAAAAATATATTATAAATATTAAAAAAGAGAAAATCTTCATCTACATACGTATATGGTATAGTGATAAATATTAAAAGAGTTTATTGTGCAAAAAACTAATATTTTTATATCATTGAAATAAAGAAGAGAGGAGCATATTAATTCTATAGAAATAATAACATTATATAACTAACTTTTTAAATTCAATCCATTGCATGATATGCATTTGTGATATATAGTTTCCAGAAAAAAATTGAAAAATATCTTAAAATTCTAGAGAGAAAATACAGTCATATTTATACTTGTAATTATCAAAATGTCTATCTACATTTACTTAATTACACATCGGCAAACTTAATTAATACATATTATTATTATTTTATATATATATATATATATATATATATTTATATAATTAATGTTATAGAATACAGTTTCTGATGTTATAATGTGATGTTAAGAATCATATAATTCTTAATAGTTTTATAGTAGCTTAATACAGAAGCAGTGTGAATGTTACTGACAATTTACTCTGAAAATTACTTATGCATCTCATATGCAAATGATTTACTAATACAGCCTTATCGTTCATGTAATTTGCACATATTATGATTTCAATAATATGCTACATATGTGAATTTGCAATGAGCGATTATAAAAATATAATTTAAAAATATTTTACAATTTATATAGGCGACGTTTTATCCACATCCTAAGTGTTTCATTATTTTCGAATCAATTGTTTTGTACACTATTAACAGTGGTGACTTGCACAACTACCTCTCTGAGGATATTCTTCGTTATGGTTATATGCAGATTTTCTTTATATAAATACGTTCTGTATACAGAACATATATTTTTGTGTCAATATATGACACATTTTCTTTTATAAAACCAAATCAGTATACATGTTTGTTAAATCCGTACTGTACAATCGTAATAATCATAACTTATCTAAAGTATGAAGACTATAAAAACTTTATATATGAGAAGACGGTTCTTCGTAATGCCTATTATATTCTAATATCGTATTTCTATCATTTTGCAATTCACTATCAACTGCATCGTTGCAAATACATACTGAGTCTGAAATACTTCCACCTGAAAATAATATAAAAAAGCTTTTTTAACATATCTTTTATATATTAATATATAGATCCAGTCACACAGATAAATCTCGGCAAATATAAATAATAATAACTAATTTACATATGTAAATTATAAATATATTTACAATATTAAATATATATAATGTTATTAAAAATCAATTCTCATTTCAAATAAAATCTCATTTTTCTTTAGAAAAATTTGTTCTATGATGTATTTAATTAATGAATTTCTATATAAAGTATATTACCCCAATCACAATATATTTTATCAACAAATAGCATTAAAAAACAACATTATATGGAAGAAAAATGTTTCTGTCTAAAGGACACAATAAAATTTATGAAATTTATAGAATGTAGTAAAACAAGATAAAACACACATATACAACAAATATATATATCCATTAATAAAAAGATAACACATATACATGAAAGACAATAAATAAACAATATCCCAAAAGCTTGTCAAAGCAGGTATTATGATTTTAAAAAATGCTAAAATGTATTTATTGTAAATTAATTAAAAATATTATAGCGATAATAATATTGTGCAATATAAAACATAAATTGTGTAAAATGCATTTTGAAATTTCATCTACTCAGTCTTCTATGCAAATATAAATTTTCTAAAGCAAAACTATATAGACAGAAATATAAATATATAGACGTATAAATATATATGACTACCTAAAGAACAATTAATATAAATTAGATTGTATTAACCAAGTGTTAATGTTTTTTAGTGTTCCTTATTTTTTAATGGCAATATATCAAATTTTTTAATATTCTAAATATGCATGCAATATTCTTCCGTATCCACACATACATTCACAACATAAAGTCTTACAACTAAATACGTTACATACATAAATATGTAGGCAAGCTTCATCATCTGTTCAAAGGATGAGATATCACATCACTTCAATGTACATACTAAATTTAGTCACAATTTGCATAATATAATTTTTAATTCCCCATAATACATATTTATGAAAGTATGTTGAATCTTAATGTTAATATCAACCACCTAATAATAGAGAAATATCAAATTCGATAAGAATATTATAAGTCCATTTTCCTTATAATTTCTTATTGAAAGAATACATTTATTCTTATTTTTTTCTTGTAATTCTTTAAAGTCCTTAAATATAACCAAATTTAAAATTACTTAATGCATTATTTTTCCCATTTTTATGACATTCCCCCACAAGTAAAATATAAAACCAGACCAAATATAATGTAAGTAAAAAAAAATCTTTATATTTCTAAATTTAAAAGCTCCTCATCCTCATGCATCCTTACTGAAATAAATCACAAGAAAAGAAAATATATTTTTTAGAAACAATTTTCAATTATTCATAAAAAAAATAATACTGAAAGGATTAAACTAAAAATATGAGATTCGTAAATCTCATTAAGAAATATAAAATAATGAAAATATAATTGATAATCAATTTAACTATTTATTTAATAAAAATTACGCAAATTTTGTTATAGAATCAATCAATTTTTGAAAATCTTTTCGAGGATTTAATAAGTTTATATATATATATATATATATATATATATATATATATATATAAACGCAAACCTTATTATTTAATAAATAATTATTAATATTATCATTGCAAACACACAAATTAAATTCTCAAGAATTAAAAATAAACACAACTCTCGATTGTATGATATATAAAAATATAATACATATATATATAACTCTCATGTACGTCTTATATAATATGTATTAAGCATCACTTTTCATGTACTGTGATTGTGTTTTTATAACAAATTTATAATTAAAAAAAAATTTTTGAGTATCCTTTTTTTAATATCGAGTCTTTTTAAATACTGTTTAAATAAACATAAATATATACAAGTATAGTAAAAAAATAGAATAGAAAACTGTTTCATTTATATATATATAAAGAGAGAGAGAGAGTCAGATTCGATTAAATTGATTACCAAATTAAATAAAAAAAGGATAATGAAATCATGAAAATAAATTATATACCAGATACACAGCACACTATCAGGTGAGGCCCAGTGATGATCTATAAATGCGTTGATTCAGCTTGCCCATTATTCTTAGTATCTAGATATTTGTCTGCAAGAAAGATGTTTGTATGTTATATAAAAATAACTACATGCACATTCCATACTAGACCATGTACTGTTTACAATAAATAAAGCCCGTTTCTGAAAAATGTTTCAATCATTTAATAGTAAAATATAATGATGAAAATGATAAATTTTCCATTATTCAATATATAACTAATAATTACTGAAATATCAAAATGCAAATTTTATATTGTGAAGATTGTAGTATGAGAAAAAATTCAACACATAATATACTTTCAGATTTAAAATTAAAACATTTTATGCAAAATGTATTTTTATAAATGTAAGTATTTTTTAGGAAATTAAATATAACTTTTTACATATTTTATATTAAAAAAAACTTAAGGAGTAAAGTACATGCTATATTTTCTAAGGGATGTAGAATGTTTCAATCATTCATATATAAATCAAAAAATATATATACAAAAATAAATGAATACAAAATAATAAAAAATATAATTATTAGTTATAGTGTAACTGTTAATATAATAAGACAATTGCAATACGATATTTATTATAGATATGAATAAATGCAATAATTCATGTATGTAATTATATGCATATGAAAATATCAATAGAAAATATAGAAAGAATTGCAATATCTACGAAACATATCATGTATCAACCGCGCACGTGCAAACATTATAGTTATGTTATTTGCTAAAATATTAATATAAAAATATTTGCTATAATATTAATTGTTATTAATATCTTTTGCATTTCTTAACACGTTAAGCACCATTTTTAATAGATCAATATTACAAATATAAATAGAGATATTCGTTATAAAACATGTTTAAATAATTTCTTTCATAGACAACACATTTCTAATATTAAAGTAAATTTCATGTATAAATCTATTGTAAAAAATGTTACTCCATTCTAAAAATGTTGGTGGAACATAAAATAAAGATTTAAAACTGTGTGTAATAAATGATTCAAGATTAATGATTGCCTGTAGAATACAATTGATCACAAAATTAAAAAAAAATATAAAGAATCTTGAATTTTAACAAGTTAAGCGCCACGATATTAAATATATATAAAATTAAGAAGAAATGATACAAAGAGTCATGTTGAAAAGATTATTGTTTCTAGAAAAATTAAAACCAATACAAAAATATTTATACATTTAATAAGTTTTGCTAAAAAATAAGTATTAATTAATTTAATATTAACTTAATCATTTCATTAATTGATAAAAATTTATATAAAATAAAAATAAAATATGTGAATAAAAAAATATTTTTTAAATTACCCCCACAAAATTTTCTAAACTACTTTGTTTATATTGCTTGATCTTATATACTTTATTTATATTTAATCGAAATATATCTTTCAAATGCTCAAAATATATTTTTTTAAATATTAATTTTATATTTTTTATTATATTGATATATTTCAATATAAAATAAATAATTTTTGGCGCTTAACGTGTTAAATGATATCGCAATTGCATACTACCTTCGTTTTGATCCCAAAACTTGTGCTTGTAAGTCCAAAGTTGAGAACAATTCATGTACTGTATAGAAATAGAATGTTTTAGTAGAATTGCAAATTTTTATTTCACATTCCAACCAGAATATACTATAGGGGTAATATACATATTATGTATGTCATATATGTATGTGAATATATCTTTAAAAAAAATTTTACGAATATAGCATCATTATGTAATAATGATGTCAACAAATAATACATCTTAGATTTCTCAATATCTCAATATTTCAAATATATATATATATATATATATATATAAGTACATATATATATATATATATATGTTTTGTGTGTATTCCACTTACCAAATTATATTGTGAATTATATGTGTGAATACTGTTTCAATATTTTATTTAATAATAGTAGTCATGTGTTATATAAATTAGCATTAAATACTCTTAAAAAATATCCTTGAAAAACTTGTTTTGCATAATAACTGCACTTAAAAAGAGTAGTTTTTAGTGACATTTATATCGTTCATAACAGCAACAGTGTGTGTATGTGTGTCAAATGTCAAACATATATCAAGCTGCATTAATAATTTTATTGTGGAACATGCAAAACAAAGTGCGTTATTTAAACATAAATTTTGTCCTAACTATTATTAGTCACAGCCCTCTACTTACCTGCAATAGCAAGATCGACCAATGCTTTATCTTTTTGTATGTGTAGTGCTGTCAGGAAGAAAAACAGAGCACCAATTACTTCTACAAACATTGTAAGAAACATTGCATATTGTAGGCTACGAAACTCGACAATTGTGTTTTGATTGTCATTGGCAGAGTGTCCTCCTATAGCTAAATCTGGTAAGAGAGTGGACTTTAATCCTTCTGATATCTAAAACAAAAATAAACAATTAGTTATTATATATTATTAATGAATTTAATTATATATTAATAATAAAATTATTTTTACATACTAATCCAATCAAATAGGGACTGCCTGCATCTCCAAGAGCATGTGCGATAAGTATTTGGAATGCCTCTGCTGTAGATCTTCTTGTAGGAATTACTACATACTGCAATATATAATACAAAAATTATTAAAAATTTTTATATATTAAAATATAGTCATAAAAATATAATTATCTTTTATAGTTCTTTTTCTTACCAATAACATATCTGCTACAATAGACCAATTCAAATTTAATGACAATTGACCAAAGAATATTAATGTGTAACAGAGAGTGGAGTTTGTATTGGCAGTAATCATAGCGAAGAATAATAAAGGTGCACTTATTAGAAGACCTATGGCGCATATTAGAGGATCAGCTTGTTGCCAATAGGTTCGTAATTTTTGTGCTATGGTAGAACCTAATGGTACACCTATTAAACCAGATGCCATACCAATTAATCCAAACTTATATGCAACTCTGAAACATTAAGATATATTTATGTAGTATTCTTAAAACATGTATATTTTTATGTTAAATATTAATTTTTAATAAACGCACATTATTATGGCAAATTACAAGAAACTTACTCTTCTGAATCGACATGGATTCCATAAGGAAGTATTTTAAAACCTAATTGTAAATATGTCGGCGCCCACCATGCCAGAGCACCAGTGACAAACGCCACACAAGTAAATCCTGCAGTAGACAGCATAAAGCTTGGACTGAAAATATATATGTGTGAATATAATTAAATAATGAACTGTAAATTAGTATAAATAAGAATATATTCTGTTTTATTTGAACAATAAATAATAGAATAATAAATAGAGCAATTTAAACAATGTAAATTATTGCTTTTAATAAAAAAAATATTAGTAAACAAAAAGAATAAATAATTATAATTGTCTAATAATGAAAATAATATATAATAATTACTTTTTTAATAGCTCCTTGATATCGTGCGACCACGTCGTACTCGTCAAGTGAACGCCACCTTCTCTTTCGCCTCTAATAGGATCTTTGACTACGGTCAGTAACAGTAGAATTGCTATAATACCTAGTATAGGAGTAATGCGTAATCCCCATTGCCAGTTACCAGCGATACGAGCTGTTTCACCTCCTATGATATATCCCAAACCACTAGAATAAAAAAATGTATAAGTATATTACATAATGTATATATACTCTCTAATTATGTATAATCAATGTACCTTCCAACTGGAATAGCGAAGTAAAACAGGGCAAGCATTTTAGAACGTACATCTTTCACAAATAAATCACTAATTATTGTTGGTGCAATTGTAGAGTAACTCGCTTCTCCTATACCAACAAGTGCTCTAAAAAATAGGAACCATCCAAATGTCTGAAATAAAATAAAAGTATTATATATATTATATGTACTTCAAGTATTACATACGCTTCATATGGTTTTATTGTGCAGTTAAATCTGTTAAGTGCATATATATTTGTAATGTATATAAAACTTTACACATCATTTATTATTTCTTGAACATAAATTTATTTTTATTCTCTCTATATATAAGATTTACTTTATATAGAAGAAATTGTACCTCACCTTCATATAAGAACCAATAAATGTTGTTAAGCACCATAAGAATACCCCACCGCTCATAATTAACTTTCTACTATAGCGATCTCCCAGGTATCCAAACAATGGCGCAAATATCATATAGCTCAGGATAAATGCAGTTTGTAGCAGTCCTGACATATCGTTACCAATATCAAAGTCCTTCTTGACGTCCTTCAGTACCCCTGTAAAAAAGTGAATATATATACATTGAGAAAACAACATTTATATTCACGTTTACATTTATTTTACATTAAATAACAAATTTTTCTCAAGTATCTCTTCTCTTATCAAACTCAATCATATTTTCGTAAGATAAGACTCACCGGCGACCGTAAAACGGTCCATATAATTGATAAGATTCACGAAACATAGCACGGCGACTGTGATCCAGTCACTCGCACTGACTGATCTCAACTCCGAAGGCATCGTTGCTTCTACGCGCGTCTCCCTGGAGTTGTCGTCCCGATCTGCATCTACCGCACGGTATTTGGTTTCCGCAGTAATCGACGCTTTATCGTCCACCATGACGCGACAAAGTCCTTGACATTTCCGTCGTTATCTATGTTACAAAATAATTTACGATAATTCGAAAGTTTGTTAATTACTTAGCTGACTCTCCCGCAGTAACCCGACATAACCTCGCATAATTGAATGACAATTACCTCGCTACAGTAGGATGACAAAAAACTGATCACGGGCATCTTTTGAGCATCACACCACGCGCATCACACCACCTCTAATTGAACTCCAAAGTGGGATCGAAAGCAATCAGAAGAGTACAATTCTGACATATGTGTGCGGCGCTCGTGACACGTATACACTGGATACGTGCTAAATATTCCTCTTCTTTTATGCGTGTACGTATGCGTGCATGTGTGCGTATAAAATATGCATCGCACGCCGCTGCGGCAAATTGCGACAGGCGTATATGATATAACTATTACGTTATTGTGTCTAGCGACCTAAACGAGAGATGAGATCAATTTGGAGTTAATAAGATGATTGATTTGTCAACAAAAGTTTCTTGTCGTTGCATCCTCGCGGAGCAGAATATATATATAATATATATATATATATATCAAATAAAATATATTCTACGTCACGCACGGAGGGAAAAATTCGGATTTTCAAATATGCTATATTCGCTTTTAGCGAATTATTATTTTTACTATTATATTTATTTTTAATAAATATTTATAATAAATAAATAAATGAATTATGATTCGCTGATTGAGATTCAGTACAGCATGTTACGTTAAATAAGTCGCGCGATTATTTTTTATTTGACTAGTGTAAAATCGAATCAAAAGATAGATTGAAAAATTATTGAATCGAGAAAACGATTCTTGTGACGTAAGAGAGGGGGAGGAAACATCGCATCGTTTAGCCGTTCGGAGTTCGGAATTGTCAAGTATTGTAAAAACAGCATCGGTGAATAGTAAGTATATGTACATACGTAATATATTTGAAGTAATAATTAGCTCAGAGGCAGAGGAAATGACTCAAAATATGTATATCAAATATATATTCAATAATCTAATATCGAATAAATAGTCGATATGTGGGCGTCAATGCAAAATGGAGGTTATGTTATATGTTATCTTTTAATAAATCAATTGTGTATATGTTTCATACGTGAGATATGTAACATTACATTTTTCTGGCACAAAAGAGGATAATTTTAAAATCAGACGCTACACTCGGAATCATTAATTTATCATTCGCGTCATTATTTTAAAATATATTTTTGTTTTGATCTTGTGAATTTAATAAAGTGTTTATAAAACATGTTTTTACAGTATGTATGTGTGTAAATGCAATAGTTACATTTTATAATTATAATTTGTATCTGTTATTTTTACAGGATTGTCTTTATAAACAATGGATAACTCTCCGTTGCAAAAAGTGGAACTGCAAACAGATGTCTATATGGTGTGTTTACAACATGCTTTATCAACAGAAAACTTTGAAGTGATGGGTTTACTTATCGGCAATGTATGTTAAACCTTTATTATTTTATATATTTAATGTTTCTTTTCCTTTTTAATTAATAAGACAAATCGAACATTAATCACTCGTATTTTTTAGTTTGCATGTGGAATAGCAAAAATATCAGCTGTTATCATTTTACGACGTTTAGACAAAAAGAAAGACAGGGTAGAAATCTCTTCTGAACAATTACTGAAAGCTGCTAGCGAAGCTGAGCGATTAACAGTGGAATTAAATCGACCTATGCGTGTTCTTGGCTGGTATCATTCCCATCCACATATTACAGTTTGTCCTTCACATGTAGGTGCGTATTAAAAATACTTTCTCTTTTTCAAAATATTTAATATAATTTTTTATATATAAAAATTCTTACATTTATTATTTTTATTTTGTAGATGTGAGAACTCAAGCTACTTATCAAACAATGGATCATAGTTTTGTAGGCTTAATATTTTCAGTATTTTCAGAAGGCAAAGACTCAAAGGTATATATATATTTTTTTTGCAATATTTGCATCAACATACATAGAATACACATAAAACCAATATGGACCACTAAAATGGTCCATATTGGTTGAAGTTGATCTAATTTTATCTAACAGTCAATTATTATTAAATATAATCAGATGGTATCATATGTAATTTTTAAATTTATATATATACATACACACATATTGACAAATGGTCTGTGTAATATTAAAAATTGTTCATATAGATAGATTATAAAATTAAAAATGATGTACGAATGATTTTGTGTTTTGTAGGAACACGAGATATTTTTAAATTGCTTTCAATCAGATAATGGTGAAGCCACAGAAATACCATTAGAAATTGTACATACTCCAGATATTTCGGATAGATGTTTGAGAGTAAGCTTTTTTGTATTAGAAAATTTTATTTTTGCTGAAAAAAACTATAATATATATATGCTATCTTGAAAATTAATACTATTGCAGACAATGACAGATCTGTCAAAAATTTTGGTACAAGAAGAAGAAGATATGGCTGAAACTTGTAAAGATCATCCAGATATCCTTGCCAGCATTCATAATAACGCTGGTATGTATCATTCTGTTTATTGTATATATATTGTATAAAGTAAAAAGGATAATATATATTAGAATAAAATAATTTATTTAAATAACAGCTTTTGTCTAATATTTGATAATATGAAAGTAAATAACAAATCGAGGAATATAAACAATTTTCATTTACAGTCAGAACACGTGCGTTGATTCACATAACAGATATTATTACGAAGCCTTTGGTACAAACATTTGAAAAGAGAATAGCATTGAATAAATTGCGTGCTATGCATCTTCAAAGACAATTACAGGAGTTACAGAAGATGTGTAATGGATAAAAACTTTTGAGAAAGAGAAAGTATGACAATTTAAATCGTGATATAAATTACAATTTATTTGTGAGTATGAATAATCTATTCTTTGATAAACCATGTAATATAAAATATAAGATTTGAAATAAAAGTATTTACTAAACTAAAATTACATATATTTAAATAGTTTTACATTGATATAAATAGAATTAAGCAATTGTGGCAATATAGACATATAATTTATTTTAAGTTACTATTAAAAGTAGTATTTCGTTATATACAATAGATATATTTTCTATTATGTTTATTCCTATTATGTTCCTATTATGTTCATTCATTTTAAACGAATAAAAATTTATTGTTTATAAGATATAATAAATAAAGAACATTTTATTTAAGTAAAATTATCTACAATATATATATATATGTATATACATACATACTGTTAAAAATATATCAGCTATCATTTAGCTGAATAAAGCTATAAGAAGAATGGAAGAATTATTTTACAGTATAAATATATATTTATATTATAAAATATATCTTCCATTTTATAGCTTTTTTTAAGATAATAGTAAAAACTTTTTTAAATTAAAAAAATCACGCGAAAAGTATAACGTTTGCTCTTATCACGATTATCCATACGCACAAATAGGACACTAAGAATATTTACTTTTTATGCATATAATTTGTAGAAACTAATATCCAAAATTTCTGCAAAGATATTTTGAAATGAATTAAAATATGAAAGAAATCCTTGTATATTATATCTTTAATAATATAATATTGCATAATTATATATTATATCCATACGCACAAATAGGACACTAAGAATATTTACTTTTTATGCATATAATTTGTAGAAACTAATATCCAAAATTTCTGCAAAGATATTTTGAAATGAATTAAAATATGAAAGAAATCCTTGTATATTATATCTTTAATAATATAATATTGCATAATTATATATTATTTTTTTTATATTTTGAGAGAAAAATTATATTTATTTTGTTTTATTATATATATAAATAACTGGATTTAACGACACATTTACTTGACAATTCTCTCTTTCCTCTTTATATAATTTTATAATATAGAATTTATTTAAAATAAATTATTTATTAACCTACACTATATTCTCAATAAATATATTTACAACATTATCTAAAAAAAGTTAAACTTATATTTCTTAAAACGTGCACTGAAGAATTATTTCATAGACTACATATAAAAGAAATTTGTTGAAAAGTATGTATTTGTTTACGAGTTTAAAGATTTTTTTGTAATTTTAAAAGATGTATACATTTACATACATCTAAGTATAGATTATATATATAATAAATATGTATAGACTTATATATTTCTAGACTTGTTTTTTTAATATCATGATTCTATTCACAATAAAAGATACATATTTAATTTGCAACGATTTATTAACAATCTCAATTCTTAACATCAATATTCTTTCATTGCACATTTTAATAAATTAATAATACAAACAAGAGCAAACCCTTTCAGTGACTTTTATTTTACTCTTCACGAACAAAGACCTGGCAATAATTGCTCAGTTCTATATTTACACTACAAGAACAACAGCGTATTTAAATAGACTTAAATGTTCAAAACACAGATTCTGCAGAACGAGAAAGATGTATAGGATGAGAGGGACTACGTGCTAACCTTTTGCGAGGCAGCTTTTCGAGTGTAGTTAACAGCTTTGCAAAATCAGGACGTTTTTCTGCATGGTATGACCAACAATGCATTAAAATGTCCTAAAAAAAAAAAAAATTATTAAGTCTCTACAACTTTTGTAAATAGTACATGGAATTTGTGGAAATAATGAAATATAATTATATTGTGTATAGATATACCCATTTTAAAGACACATATATATACCTTTACATCACGAGAAGCTTGCAAATTTGCTAAAGGTTGCTTCATTCCTTTCCCAACTTGCCAAATAATAGCTTCGGGAGGTTGACCTTTAAATGGCCATTCACCACATAATAACTCATACCAGACAGTCCTACATCAGAAAATATATTTTTAAATTAAACAATTTCATCAATTATTGCTTTGTATTTACACATTTGCTATACTTTTGGAATATACAATTCATTATGATATATTTTTCTAGATTGTTAAAGTTCATTATAAGTATTTAAATATATTATGTTTCATGATATTCATAAAACAAATATACTAACCCAAATGCATAAACATCAGAAGCAGCTGTAAATGGTAACTCTTCCTGATCTCGATTCCGTTGTGGTCTCAATCGTCGAACAATCTCAGGTGCTAAGTAACACAACCAACCAGGTGGTATATTCAATCCATTTCCTTTCCTAAACACATAATACATGTATATATGAAATGAAATAAACTTGTATTTAAAAAGTAACATAACAATATAACTTATCTAGCAAGAATAAATTTTATTTTATTTTAAAATATAAATTTACCTATTTCCATAGCACAACTTTGTAACACTGAACAGACCAAAGTCTGTTATTACAACTTTTCCATTTTCTAAAAATATATTTTTGCTCTTAAGATCCTTGTGTACTATACCACGAGCATGAAGATATCCCATACCCTATAAAAAAAGTTATTGCTTGAATATACTATATACATAATAACAAATTTAATAACATTTATTATATTTGTATAAACTTATATATATTTATATATTTTTAATTTTTTAAATATTATATTTATTCAAATGCTAGCATAATATGCACATAAATAAATATAATGATCTAAAAATACTTATACAAATGATATGTACCTGAGAAATCTGTTGAGCTATAATAGTAGTTTTATTCATATTAAATTTGTCCTTCCGTAAATGAATATGAGTATAAAGTGTCATGCCTTTACTCATACTAGTCACTATAGCTAATCGAGGAGGTTTCATACAAGCTCCCATAAATAAAACTAGATTTTCATGTCGTGTTTTTCGGAATGTGCCTACCTATAATGATCAAAATAAAATATTTTTCATCATTATCAAAATCCGAATGTGTTAATGTAACTATAAATATATATTCATATATATTCTTACCTCTAATTTGAATGCTTCTAATATCTTATCATCATCTAAATAATAATCCATATTTATGACTTTAATTGCAACATCTCCATACCAATTGCCTCTATATACTGTACCAAATCTTCCTGTTCCAATTGCTTCTCCAATCTTTAATTCATCATACGGAATGTCCCACTCTCGCATCGACAACTGCGATTTAAAAAATATATAAATTATAAAATAATTTATTTATAATAGACATTTTATTTTTGTTAAAATTCTTTTTTCAATTAAATGAATAACACGCATACACTATTCTGTCGAGGCCAACGATTTATATCCCCAGGTATTTCGCTATCAGAAACTTGAGAATCCTGAGAATCAACTCTCACTGGTGTCCTTTCGGAATCTGTACTGACGCTACCAGATCCGGAAACACTTACTGTTCTATCACTATCACTCGACATAGTTGTACCTTCGAATCTGTGCGTTTCGTGTATCACTCCTTTTTCAATCGTTACATCTGCAAGTGAAATAAATAATTGTTCGATCTGATAAAGTTATAAACTATAACAAATGCTTTTTCTTTACCTGGAAAATGGAACTGTTGTTTAACAGGCGCCTGTGAAGTCTGGCTAATATTGGCAGGTAGCAATGCTGGACTAGAAGGCGTTGAGCTGTTACAGCTCGAGGTATTTGAACTATTAGAATCTGCATTCTAATAAATAAAAGTAATTTTATATAATTTTTAGTAAATATTTTGTATCTCTATTATTTTATTTATATTTTAAAAAATTATAAAAATTAATTCATTATATATATATATATAATATAAAATGTCATTTACATGATTTTTTATATACATATATGTATAATAAATTTACTTATGTTTTGTGAAAATTAAAAGAAATATTAAATGTAGATTATAATATACCGTAGAAGGATATACATGTGATCGTCTTCGGTCTTTTTTTAATAAATTTGAACTATGGTGATTCGGGGATGTTATGCCAGGCTTGCTTAATATTGGAGAAACATTCATACCTAAAAGAATGTATGTTTCATACTTTAATATATCATGTATTGTTTAATATATCAGATATGGTTTTTTTTTCAAAAAGTATGAAGAAAATATGAAAGAGGAAGATAGGAATTTTTATGATGAGAATTATTAAAGAAAGTTGCAGAGTTTCTACATACCATCTTGTACAGTTCGTTTAAACTCGTTAAAGAGTTCCTGAGGTAGGCCACACGAGGGGGGTACTTTGGATTCACATTCTTTGTGGCACTTATATTTACACTCCCTGCATTTTAACATATAAAAAGTCCATCCCATCGATTTTTCGCAGTAGTCACATCTAGGTGCACTGTTTAAAGTTTTGGCAAATCGATGAGTAATTATATGACCCATGGTGCGAGTCACAGTCGGAGTACGTGGAGATTTTGGCACTTGGAGACTTGATACTAAAGATAACACAATAGAAAATATTACATTAACTTCATGTATATAACATTAAGATATAGTTTTTCTTTTATATATACCTGTTCCCTTAAAACTGTTATCATCACTTTCTGCATTAGTGTAAGGTGGAGATTTAATAGGACTATTACTGTTTGGCAAGAAACTCTCTGCTTTCACAAAGTCTGTCGTACTACAGCATGAACTTGGTTCTGTTGATAGACGGTTTCTTCTTTTTATAGTGGAATCACTTTTTTTTCCTACAGAAGAGTCGTTGCCAGAACTGAAAGTATAGAATAATACATTAGAATATTTAAACTACAAAATACTTTTTTTTGATATTAAATTAGATCTGTAAAATTGATCATAAAATGAAAATAAAATAGATTGTATAGTAAAATATTCTAAATATTACCTAGATGATGTATCATCATTATCAAGCTGTATATTCTCAAGACGATTTGCTAATTGTGATTCATGAGATTTTGACTTAGTTAATGGAAACACTTCAGGTTGTGATGTACTACTTTGTATACCAATCTGATGTTTCTTGCATGGAGGAGGAGTTGTTGGAAATTTATGTCCTATAATTGAGAAAAATGTATTGTACAGTAGATATAAATTGCCTATATTTTAAATTATAAATGCTAAGGTATATTTAAATGTCAGGAATGCCTTCCACATTTAGTAGAAGTACATTAACGAACAAAATATGGATGATTCAAATACTTTCTAAATGCTCAACTTTAAATTGTAAGGTATTTCACAGATGCCTAAATGTACATTAAATATATGTTTTTAGTAGTATTTTATGTCATATATTAAAAACTGACCAATATAATTTTTTTTTAAACTGAACATTACAAAATATAAGAGATATACTTAAAGGTATATCTTTTCATTTTACGTACCATATTTTTGTCTTTGCAATAGAGGGGTACTAGGAGGACTAGTTGACGTCAAAGATATTACAGAAGAAGTTTGTGCCAATGTAGCGCTGTTGAGATTATTGTTATTATTATACTGAAAGCTTTCTTCTGATGGAACGGAACTTCGTGTAGTACGAGATCGAATGGGCCTAGGAGAGGCTCCAGTGCGTAAATGATGTCTATCCCAAGAATCCCAATATAATTTCATATCATTATTCTCCTTCTCTCCTCTTATAAGAACATCTAAAAAAAAAAACATAATACATAAAATATATAATGCTAATCATTTTTTTAATTTTCTTTTTGTAAAACAAATTTTATTCACCCATATATCGTCGTAAATTATGTAATGCTCTGCAGAGCCTACGATGTTCCTCCTCACGACGCACATTATTTTCACCTAGCATGCTGCTTAATTCACGTTCAGATTTCTCTTTCAGAGCCTCAAGGGAACTGGCTTTATTACAAACCATCTAAAATTATTAATAAAGCATTTTTAAAAATTATGGCTTGATTTTAGAATTTAGATATGTAAATTTTACACACACACACACACACACATACTCTAAACTGTATAACAAATAAATTTTAAAAAGTCTGCTCATATTTCTGTATTTATTATTACCTGAATCGATTCATGGGTGAGACCAACTACCCGCAACCATTGTTGTAATGACGGATATTGTCTCATCTCTGCCAAATCGGCCAATTTGGCCTTGTTCACAAGTTGTCCAGAGTATAATTTTATTAATTTCCCCTATAAATAATATTTAAATATAGATAGATTTTACTCTCTCTCTGTGTTGAAGCTATAATATATAGATTATAAATATATTATTAATTTATAAAAAGAGTTATAATATTTATAATATTTAAATTAAATTTCGTATATATATTATAGAGAAACTTTCAAACTATTATAAAGCTTATGATATTGTAATCCCAGAAAAATTGTAAATTTTCTAATAATATTATCAGCCTTTCTATCAGAGTGACACATGACCAAAAAATTTCAAATTTCTCAATCGTAGATTACAAAAAACAACAAACGAACAATTCTCAAAAATTGAGGTAGAGCAAAATGCGCAAATAAAGTAAAATTAAATTTTCAGGGAAAACTCTTCGTGGAAAAGACGAAGATGCAGAAATCCACCAAGTACTTATAAACGATATATGTATGCGATTAGTGCAAGTTGCAATTTGTTGACAAGCAACAGAGAGGCACCGCGACGAAGATCATTGGCGCCCTACGATTTTCGGGCCCCAGGTCGGCGAACTCGCCGGAGGAGCTTCTCCTCGTCCTCTTCTTACCTCGAGCGTCCTTATCTCCTGCTGGGTGAGCTCCGCGCTGGTGGAGCATTGGGTCCTTAGGCCCTCGAGTCGTTCGACGTAGACGTCAATCATAGACTGATTGTCGTCCAGGAAACGTCGTATATCCTTCTCGCCGTCCGCCATTCCTCGCACGCGCAACGCTCGACTCCGAAAACCGCGCGGATCCTCACCGGGGAGGACGGAGGCCTCGCTTTTATTTCACGAGCATAACTGGCCGGCCGCGAGAGGCACGGCCCCGCAGTCAGGACGCGACGTTAACACTGCTGCGCCTCCGTGTAACCAAACCACTTATCAACATTGACAACCATCTTGGTCGCCTCTATCGGTGACGTCAATCGGTGCTGCCCGGCGATCCGGGAGCTCGGCGCGTTCATTCGTGTAACTTCACAAGTAAGTGTTCGTAAAGACAGTCTTTTTCAGTTCATGTTGTAAGTTGTAAATTGCTGTCCTTCTCTCCTCCTCTTTCCCCGCCCTCTCCAACCCCTGACTATCGTCTAGGAGGGCAAAATATTTTTTTTCTCATTATTGCGATACATACACATACGTGTACATAAGCGTATACATGTGATACTTAATTTTATCATATGATTGTATGTGTAATTACATGTGTAATTCCATGTTCCCCAAAAAAATGAAATATGTATGCATCCGAATATCCTACTTTTTTGGTAGATTCATATAAGTATAAATTTTTATTGTAATGTATATATTTTGCGATGCTTTTTGTAAAATGTAGCTATGTATAAATCTTGTAGACTGACATTTTTATAAGAAATGAATAAATATATTTTGCAAATAAAAATGTCTGCAACAAATTGGAATTGCGAATAAAAAGACGATGAAAAATGTTTACAATTGAAATATACTGCTATCAATTTCTTACATATCACGTAAAATGATTAGAAGAGAAAAATTACATTTTTCTTATTTTACCTTATATGATTATTCTTTTTCTGTTCTTTTGAACATGCATATTTCTTAATGCATAATCCTAAATGCAGAAAATAAAGTACAAAAAACAATTCTTAGATCGCATTAATCGTCAGATTTTACAGCAAAGATCCATAAATATTATTTGAATATTTGAATTTTCCCGCTCGTTGCATTATCCTTTAACACCACTCGATTGCGTTCGTAAACTAGTCGTCCAGGTTGAGTTGAATTGGATCCACCAATCGGAAAAATTGGAGCAAAGACTCCTTTTCTGATTGGTCAATCGAGCGCTGCTCTAATCCTATAAGTCGATTCTAAACTATCGAAATTCACTATCAGAATTGTTTCTCTGACATAACATATTGACGTCTCTCTTCAAAACACCGCCTATTCAATGACCGATACTTCTTTCGCCTAATGTCATGTATTCCGCTGTCAAAATTTCGCCTCGCACGCTCGACTCGTGGTGTTTGTTATAATAAACGTTGTTGTATGTTAATGTTAATTAGATCTTGTAGAAATGGTGAATGTAGATACTATACGAAAGAATTATCCACTACACTGGCTCGTTTGGCATAACAGCTATGTAGAACTCGACAAGGAATTAGCCACAAATCAGGTTTGCATCAAGCCTTCTTGCCGTTCAATTAAAACTCTTTCTTATTTGACATTAGATTCTTCGTAAATCGTGCAAGATCGGACGATTAATGAGATATAATTTAATCACATTTGCTGACTGTGATTTTTATTTTCGCGTATGTATTTCGTATTAGTAGTTCGATTATCAAAATGATAACGCATTTGTCACGTCATAATTAATACAGTAAAACGATAATTGCGTAATTGTTCGATGCAGATGGATAACGTAGATGCATATTACTAGTGTATATTCATTTCTTGGCAATTTGGACGACATATTTATCACTTCAAAGTACTTTACTTAGTGCATTCTTTTTATTATGTATCTAGATAAATGTGTCACAACACTTTAAAAATAACGGTTTTATGTGAATCTGTCAGCTGATCACGATAATTATAGCTCTCTATGAAGTATAATATTAATGTCAGAGGATTGAAGATTTTTTTATATTACTATTTTTTTTCTACTCTGCATACTGACACTTGTATAATAATTATACTAACTATACATCTTATTTTTTTATATATTAGGATGAAATTAATGTTTTTTTCTTTTTATACATAAATATTATAATAATATCATATCATAATCAAATATAATAACTACATGTTACAAAAAGTATTATTAATGTTAATACAAATAAAAATCGTTTCTAGTATATGTTTTTTCGAGATAAAGTGAATTAATTATATCTATAGATAAGATAAATAAGATTAAATGCTTACATTTATAATATTTGTAGAGATAGCTTTATCAATTACAATTTTATGATGTGACAAAGCATTGCATTTATATAATGCTTTGTACAATATATTATGTTTTAAATTTGAAATTCATAATTATATTTTTCTAATGTATGATTGTACAATTGAGTTAAATCTGTATAGTATCTTATATTTAAAAAATGTCTGAAGCCTTTCATAAAAAGAGGAGAAACCTTAGATATGTAGAGACTTGTGACTCTTGATATTACATTACTGAACCACAATCAAACAATCTTTTATACTTTATAATATAACACATTTTAGATATGTAATAATACTTATTTTAATTTTTTATAACATTGACAAATATGCAATAAAAGAACCTAGAGATTATTATAATATCATTATAGTAATAATTATTTTAGATAATATGATAAATATATACATATGATTAAAATACATGTTCATTTGTTCTTTTTGTTGATTACATTGATATAATATGAAATATTCTTTATATAGTATTTACATGTGTGTGGGTGTTTTCTAGCACGATAGAGAAAAACATGACAATCGAGGAAGGACACCACTGATGCTAGCAGTAACTTTAGGTCATATAGATTCTGCTGTAGTTCTATTACAGCATGAAGCCAATGTTAATACAGAGAACACTCAAGGATGGAGTGGTAATTTGCTTTTATATTTTATTTACTTCTAATAGAACATTTATATTTTTGATAAATTTATATTTACTGTAATCAGAAAATATATACAAAAAATAAATAGTTTAATTTGGTTTAAAACAGTGGTCCAAGAAGCAGTGGGTACAGGAAATCCCGAATTGCTACAATTGGTGCTCGCTAGGAGAGATTACCAAAGGTATTGTAATCGAGTTGCTGGTATACCAGAGTTACTTCACAAACTTAAACAGGTCAGTTACCATGTAATTTAACTAATAACAAAATATATATTATTGGGATTTAATATATACTCATTTTTTACAAATATGACTTTTATAACTGAAAGACTACTTACTAAAGAATTTTTTTTTTTTTTTTTTTAAGTTTTGTTAGCTAATATTAACTTATGTGTTTCTTATATGGATTATTATGTGAGAACTGATGATATTGACTTTCTTTTATATATTCTTGTTAATTTAATTAGTCCTAATAACAAAAATTGCTTTCAGGCACCTGATTTTTATGTAGAAATGAAGTGGGAGTTTACAAGTTGGGGTGAGAAACAAATAATTTAATGATACTAATTTTTTGTGATTGTAATCTTCAAAATTTATTTTGTATCATTAATTAATTTAATTTACTTACTAGACGTTAATTTGAATTCAACTAATAAGTTTAACAAAACATTTTAATTTTTTGTTTTTTTTTAATAACACATGTGATTAACTGTCATTATTTTTGTTGACCAGTTCCTCTTGCATCTCGGATGTGTCCAAGCGATACCTATAAAGTTTACAAACAAGGTAGTAATGTGAGGATAGATACTACTTTGTTAGGCTTTGATCATGCAAATTGGCAACGTGGCAATCGTAGCTATGTCTTCAAAGGACAAAGTAAGCATATCAATAGCTTTAATAGATATTGTAAGATTGTTAACTGTGCATGATTGTTTTATAATTTTATTTTTTCTTTTAAATTGCGATTGATTATTATGTTTCGGAAATGCCACAATTTTGTTTGTTTGTTACTAAGTTCTATGTATTAACGCAAGCTGCATCAAATCCACCTATGGCAATTAGATGTGAACGCAGTTATGTGTTCAGTATGGGTGGTCATCACACAGGTGATACAATTCTAACATTTAATTTAGGCATTGTATAATTAGATAGAAAAAAAAAATAAAAACAAAGATGCATAAATATAAGATATTTTTTTAGAGATATGAATATTGTATCATTCTTTTCATTTCTTTTGTGTTTTTTTCTTATTTGTTCCTATTTATATTTTGATTATAATCTAATAATTGGCAATTAAATAATATAAGATGATATATTTTTTTATCAAACATGTTTGTACAATATGCAATATAAATTTTCTTTTTGAAAAACTGAATATTTTATTATAATTATGAATTATTCATGTCGTATGTAATATTTTATTGAAATTTGTATGATATTTTTGTAGATGATGGGGCAACAATGATGGAAGTAGACCATGAAACAAGAAAAGTTTATGTCGAACATATGAAACTTATAGGAGATGATAATATACAACTGATGGAACCGTCTGAAGAAGGCGTCATAGCTCGGCTTACTAATCCTATAGTTACGACATACATAGATACGGATAAAATTAGTTTTGAACGGTATAATTATTGTTATAATAATATATATATGATATATATATATGTTTCAATCTTATTTTTTAAAATATTATTTATGTTAAATTAGCAATAAAGCAGGTCTTTGGGGATGGCGTTCTGATAAGAGTGAAGTAATTAATGGCCACGAATGTAAAGTCTTTAGCGCGAGCAATGTGGAATTAATAACTAAAACTCGATTGGAGCATTTATCTGAAGCAGATAAAGCAAGAGCTCGGGCACCGAGGACACCTTTACAATCATTTCTTGGTATTGCAGAGCAACAACAAGAGAGTTGCAGCACTATCACTACCAGTGTAATCTTTTTTCCTATTATAATATTTACTCAGTAATTTTATATATATATATATATATATAAACAAACATTCTAATCAAATTATACATTTTAGGAAGAATTTAATAATGTAGGTAATCCCTCTAATATCACTGTTGAGGAATACTTTGATCCAGATGTTGATTTAAATGGGAGAGATATAGGTCGACCAAAAGAAGTTAATACAAAAATTCAAAAATTTAAGGTACTATTAATATAAAATTATTATGAAAATCTATTAGGTAAAAATATATTTAAAAATATATTTTAATTAAAAATTATTGTTTTTAATTTAGTTTAATGAATTTGTCATATGATAAGATTATATATTAATTTAAACTTTTCTCAATTAGGCAACTTTATGGTTGAGTGAAGATTATCCATTGAGTCTTCAAGAACAAATTATGCCAATTGTAGATCTGATGGCTATATCTAGTTCACATTTTGCAAAATTGAAAGATTTTATTCAAATGCAACTTCCAGCTGGTTTTCCTGTTAAAATTGGTAAAATCTTGATTCATTATATCAGATAGATATACAGTATTAATTGCATATAATAGTTGTATATAAAATATACTAATAATCAAATTTTTTTTTCAGAAATTCCACTGTTTCACATTCTTAATGCAAGAATAACATTTGGAAATATATTTGGTTTGGATCAAGAAGTACCAAATGTGGGTCATATACAAGAAACTAATCGTATAACTTGTTTAGTCGACGATGTTTGTTTTGAGGCACCTAGTGGATATGCGAAATTGGGTAAAATTTTTGTTTAATACTTATCTTCTATATGCAATATATCAATTTTGTGTTTAATACATTTTATATATTTTATTTTAATATTATTTTCGAATATAGGTGCAGAAGTCAGGACACAATTTAGTATTGAAGAAGAAGACGATTTGTTGCAGTTTGCTATTCAGCAAAGTCTTCTAGAAGCTGGCAGTGAACGTGATGAGGTATTGTTTTTACGTTTATTTTATACAATTCTCAAAATTTTCTTGTACCTATATTTTATATCTATAATATTATATCTATAATATTCCTTGTTTATTATTATTACATGAAAAATATTATTTTACACAGGTTGATATATGGGAAGCATTAAGAGCGCAAAAACCATCTAGACCAACTACACCTAATATGATCACAGAAGAAGAAAGGCAACTTCAAAGGTATGCAATAAATACATACTAAAGAGTATGTTATTGATGTGTTATGTTTTTAGTAAATGTGTCCATTGAGAAAATATATTTTATTATTAATTTTATGCATGTATTTTCGTGCCACAATTAATGTTCAGACAGGTAGGTGATTTTATTGTAAATATTAATTCCAGATAAAATGTTCAACAGATTTGTTGTAACTAATATAAATCTCATTCTGATTATATTTTAAATTACATTATAAAATATTTTTAAAAACCTGAAAAAATTGTTTCAAATTGCACCATAAAAATATGAATTATGTTTAAATAATTAATTTTTTTTATCAGGGCCATTCAGGCTAGTTTGGTGTTATATCAAGAAACAGCTGGATCTGCCGAAGGTACTACGAATTCAGCGAGTATAAATGAAAATGAAGATAGTGACTGTCTTGAAGGCACAGCAGAACAGTTGAGACTAGCATTGAAACTTTCCGAGCAACAACAAATAGAAGAAGAACAACGACGGTTGTTAGAAGAAGAAACGTTTCGCCAAGTGCTAGAACTATCTTTGACAGATAAATAAACTCAAACTTCCAAAGTGCATGTGCAATAGTGATGAAAACAAATTTAATACAGTATACTTCCAGAAATGTGAAAAATCTTCCAGTCTCATCTGGAGACTGTATGAAAAATCATTTCCTATACATTTCATAGATTGCAAAGTGCATTAAGAAATAATAATGTTGCTTACGACGAACATTTGTTATTGGAGTATAATAGTTGATGCAGGTCAAAAGATGAAAATAATATAGTAATAGTTAAGCAAGTGAATAATTTAAATTATGTTATTTATTTCTTAGCTACATTTTTATATAAAACGAAATGAACTCTTCGATAAAATCTAGATAATTCAGTAAGTATATAGGGAAGTCTTGAAAATTACAATTGCTCTTTAAAAAAAAATACAGTCACAATTTACAAACAATCAAACAATGTTTGTGTAAATCCTATTAACTGAAAGTAAATAATGTAAGTTACGACTGTTAATATCTACAATAAAAAGCATGTAATTCTCAAGCCTTCAAGAATTATTCGTGTCCTTTCTCCTCAGTTTTAAATCTCTATGGATTTGCAAGTGCACAATAATAATTGCAATTAGGATAATACAGAAAAAACATCTCTAATCAAATCAAACATTTTTACAAAGATCCCTTTTCATATCTACAATAACAATTATATGTAATATTTCAATACAATGGTATATATAATGAACTATTAGGAATTACACATAATAAGCATTTATCATTATGTATATTCATCCCCTTCCAAAGTCTCATACAAAAATAGAGTATGCAAGATTTTATACATAGCATAGATTAATAATATATTATTTGTATTTGGAATAAGTAAATTTTATTTTTATGTTATTTTTGATTGATACATTATTAGAAGATTGTGTTTGTATGTCATAGACTCTTGATAAAACATGGTGATTCAAAGAAAAGTAATTGATTATATATTGCATTTACTTTTATTAAAATAATAAAGTTACAAGTCTTACAATGTTCTCTTGTATTCAAGCTAGACAATTCGCTATTTTTGTAATGTTATTAAAACACGATTACTTTTTTCTGGGCATTATAAATAAAAACTGCATTCATATAAGACATATATAAATATATATTTACCCAATTTTTTTATGCATCCATTTACCAATGAAATTATATAGAAAAAATAAGAAATTATTCCTTGATGACGTAATAAAAATGATCAGAAATGGAATTATCAGTGATGCAAGAATTGGCAGTCATTGGACTGCCATATCTCTGCTATTCGAATTCTGCTTGCGCCCTAAAGCATTTAAAATTAATAACATTAGTATAATTTATCAAAGAAAAATCGGATTTTTTATATTAGCAAATAAATTTGTACAAACTTTGTAAATATGGTGCCAAGTATAGTAGCACTCTGTACATAACGTTGTTCATTTTTATGCGCTTGCTGGTGCCATTTTTTGCGAATAGCATTCCACCGTGTAGTATGTTCTTTCATTAATTGTTCCCGTGATTTAAGAGTTTGACCTTCCTACAGTTACAATTGCAATTTGTATCCATTAAAGTATATAATAGAATATATGTGATATACATATATATATATATATATATATACTTTTTGCATTTTTTTAAAATTCAATTTATGTGATATTATCTTTATATTAAAAAAAAACTTTTAATTTCATACATTTATCAAAATTGTTGACTCACATAATCTAAGTTCAGATCATCCCTGGCTCCCAGTATAGGTGATGGAATGCGATTTCTTGGTATAGCCTCCTCACGAGGTAAAGGATTTGGCAAATAATGGACATCATTTAGCTCTCCATTAGCATCAATTAAATTATTTGTTATGTTAACTTCATTAACTATTTCTGGACTTGGGCTACGCACTCTATATATAAATCAATATATATATTTTATTTTTGTAAAAAAATATAGAGTTATGTATACAAAAAGAAAAAGAGAAAAAGAAAGAATATTCTTGTGATAATTTAGCTATTGCTATTGCTATTGCTATTGCTATAATAAAGATGTAATATGTGAGTCATAATATATTTTATAAGATATTACTCAAAACTTGAATGTAATATAAGCAAATATAAAATATAAATAAAAACAATACCTATAATTTTACTTACTTAGGGACCAAATTAGGATTTCTTGGTTGATTAGCCATCCAAGCACGACATATAGGATAGAGTGGTGTATCCTCTCGAAATTGAGCTAAGTCAACACTGCGATCAAATAGTTTCATCACATATGTATGATGAAATGCTGTATCAGCCTGTACCTGTCGACGACGTCTGACTTTTCGCGCTTGTTGGAGATTAATAGATTTCGTCCTGCATATTGTAATTATTAAAAAATTAATAATTTTAAACAGAGATAATTTTATGCAATAAAATACTGTGAACTAACTTACATCTTTCTCATTGTAGAATGTTTATAATCTTGAGCAGAACTTTCTTCGCCTGAGTCTGCTGACGAACCTGTGTCACTATGTTGTAATAATTCTCGAAGAGCACCTTTCAAACGATCCCTTGCTACCAAAACCTCACTATCTCCTATATAAACATAATCAAAGATACATTCAGAATTTAGTAACACAAATATTTATTCATTTTTAATAGCTTGTACTTCTTTTTTATTAAATTACTTTCCTTATTTTATCATACTTTCGCATATTACCTATTTCATCTTTTATTTCCACTTTTATCCGCCCTGGCATTATTGGCGGGGGTTGAATATTTCTTTTCTTCCCCATCTAATTATCACGTATCATCAACATTTAAAGTTAATATATTAATGTTAATTAATTAATTTATTTATACAAATTTATTTAAACATAATGCAATATATAATACGAGCTATTAAAATAATTTTTGGTATAACACTGTGATTTATTTTAGTGGTTAATTAATCAGTATAAAATTTATATTATACCAAATATATTATCATATTGTATATATTATAAACAAGAAAAGAACTCTTTAATGTAATATTCAAACTACATAGAATAATTATTAAAACACAATTAAGCTGTACTTACATTATACTTAAATCAATCAGCTTTTTAACTGAGTCATCAGGATATTGAGATACATTTTTCTCTCGTATACCTGTAACACATTAAATAATATAAAATATCGGATAAAAAGAGAGCATTAATAAATATGAAATAAAATTGAACCAGTTCTTAGTTCTCACCAATTCTATTTTTTTCTTCTTTTTTACAAAGCGTCTCTAACCTACTCCAATTTCTGCTCCAATGTTTATGAACTATTCATTTAATGACAAAGTCTGTCTATGATTGGTCATATCTATAGATGTGCGTTCTACTTCTGCTAATCGATACGACAATCAACGCCACTTACGGAAGGACGATACATTAGATTCAAAGATGGAAAACGTTTCGGCATGAACAATAACATTGATGGAAAAATGTGGGAAACAAATCTTTGTTAGAAAAAATTTTTTTATTATTTGTATATATACATATATGCGCAAGATGCTTGTGCGCGAGAAATGCGTAATATGTTTCTATATATATCTTCGATTATTATAGAAAAGTTATTTGATTAGTGTATAAAAAATAAAAAATGTTTTGGAAATTATTTATTATTAAGATTATTATATTTTGTATATTGACTCCAAAGGCTTCTTATGCCTCTAATTATTCCAATAACAAGCGTAATGATACTTATGAATGTAAATTAGGAACAAAAACTCCTTACAGATGTGTAGCTAATTATGATGATTCTTCATTGCAATATACAGGTATCCTATAGTATATATGGCCAGTTACTTTTTATATATATTTATTATGATTGAACTTGTACTAATAGATGTGTTTATTGGTATCTATTTTATAGATTGTGTGGAAAAAAAGATTTGGTTAATTCTGCGTCATGGGACTCGTTATCCAGGAAAGAAGGATGTACCTCGTATGATAAATGAATTACCACAGCTACAAAGTATAATATTAAAAAATTATGAAAATAATAGAACAAATCTATCAGCTGATAATGCAGCTTTATTTGAAAAATGGAAATTGCCACTTGCTCAAAGGGACATGATGAAATTAGCAGAAGAAGGAGAGAATGAAATGATTGATCTGGGAGAAAGATATCAGGCAAGATTTCCATCTCTGATGCCAGAAACTTTTAACAATCAAACTTATAGAGTATGTATAGCAAAATATTTGATATATTTGTTACATATGTGTGTTCTTTGATTACCAACTATGAATTTTAGTTCAAATATACTGCCACTCAACGTACAGAGGAGAGTGTAAAGCACTTTGCTGTTGGTTTATTTGGTTGGCGTAATAGCAAAAATATTTGGCTTCCAGCACCAGTATATCGAGATCCGATCATAAGAGTAATTTACTCTATTATTTTTCAATACTTAGATGATCACTTTTTTCTTCTATTTCTCTCTCTTTAGATTATTATATTAACATATGTTTCTTTAGTTTTACAAGGCTTGTCCTCGCTGGCGCCAAGAAGTTGATAAGAATTCAGATGCAAGATTAGAAAAACGAAATTTTGGATAGCAAAATTGTTAAAAATATGTTAAATAATATTAAAACGCGTATTGGCTACAATATTGATTACGGTTAGCATTATTATCAAATATATATGCATATTATATATATAAATATTATTTATTGTTATACTGTCAATATTTTATTACTAATTGTATTAAATATAATTATTATATATGTTTCCAGAAACTGCATATTTAATGTATAGTATATGTGCCTTTGAAACTGCTTGGAATCAGAGTACAGTATCTCCTTGGTGTAAAATATTTTCATTGAATGACTTCAAGGTGAGATCTTAGATTCAAATAAAATCTAAATTATCCCAAATTATCAAATGTAAAAATTCACTTGCACATCAAATTATAAATTTGTTTTACAGATCTTTGAATATGCAGAAGATCTAGAACTTTATTGGGTTGATGGATATGGTTATCCATTAACTTATGAGCAAGCATGCCCTGCCTTAAAAGATATGTTTAATTTTTTTGGGTATGTATAAATTTATATACTATATTGAATGAATAATAAATCCACTCTAAGATGTAAGATCTTAACATTTTATATTTTACAAAGAGCATGGGTCTTGTTTTATATTTTTTTGTAAACCTTTTATTTTTAGAATCTGAAAAAATATCATTAAAGAAAAGATTTGTTTAAATAGATATAACAGAAATTATGTAGTTTTAATTTTGTAATTTTGCAAATAAATATATTTTAATTTCATTGAAATGAGAATATATTAAAAGAGAAAAATGTTATTTATTTTATAGACCTCAAGAAGAAGCAACAACAACAGCTTATTTTACACATTCTGGAACAATTCTCAAATTATTAGCTTTACTTGGAGTAGCCAAAGACACACATCCTTTGAGGCACGATTCTTTTATACTGCACAAAGATGAAAGAGCTTGGAGAAGCAGTATTATTGACACATTTGCATCTAACATGGCATTTGTTTTATACGAGTATGTTTCTACTTTGAAATTATATAAAATTAGGAAATTGTGTTATACATTTTCATAATTATAATTGTTTAATTATACTTTCCAGTTGTGAAACCCAAGGTCCTAGTATTCTATTCATGCTTCAAGAACGACCAGTATATTTGTCAGGTTGTCCACATAATATGCCATGTCCAATATCTATTATGAAAGAAGCATATCCAGATCGTGACGAAGAATGTCAATTTGACATCATGTGTCATATAACAAAAAATAATTCATAAAATGCAATATGTTTATATAACAGATGGTATATACATATTTTTATTTACTTATATTCAAATCGAAATATAAAAGTAATTGTAAAAAAGAAAATATTTTTCTGGCTACAAAAAATAAATATTCTGAATAAAAAATATTATGAAATTAATCCACAATTTATTTCTTAAAATGTAGGAAAATCTATAAGAGAAACCTTCAATTAAATTAATATTTAATTGTTAGTGATTTTTTAAATCAAATTTATTAATTTTTCTTTATTTAAATGTAACACTTGTTTCTATTATAAATGTGTAATTTTTTTAAGCATGGTAATATACTTATTGATATATAAAAATAATCAGTAAGAGGTAAATATAGAATATATAGCGAATGAATAACGATTTTAATCTACACTTTTAAACTTTTATCATTTTGTACGGAAATTAAAAATTCTTATAATTTTTGTGAGTTTAATTAATGCTTTTAATTATGTATTCTAGACAAGTCATATATATAACACAAGTTTGAAAAATTATAATACTTTTTATGAGTTTTATACTATAATGCAATAAAAACATGTTAGAGATTATATTAATTTCACTAGCAATAAAGTCATCAGAAAAGAACAATGTAAAAATTTTAATTCTTACTAAATGATATCTATTTAAAACTATTTTACATATATGTATATATATCTTACAAAGGGAGATTTCTTAAAATAAAAAATGAAATTTTATAAAAACATATATTTGCAAAAATTTTACATGGAAATTTATTAATTTTTTTTACATTGTTCTTTTTTATTTTTTTATTAAAAAATAGATATGTATGTTAAAGGGTACTATCTTCTAATGAATTATTTATGCCATTTCTGTCATCTCCAATCATTTCCTGCAATAAAATACAATAATTTTAAAATAGTAATTATATTAATACTAAATGCAGTATCCATTTATAATATAAAGATGATATTACCTGCAACACCTCAACAAGTGCCCTTGTCTCATTTAACATGTCTTTATAGATACGATTTTCTTCTTCTAACTTTTTAACACATTGTACAAGTTCCTCATTTTTTTCTAAAGTATCTTTCAGTGCTATTCGACGCCTTTCAGCTATTACTTGCCAATAATTTTCACTCGGACCAGCTGCATCTGATGAAAAAAAATATTTTAGAAGAAAATTTAATTTTTTTACATGCTTTTTAAAAAGTACAAAGAATAAAAAATGCTACTTTTAAATATACCTGTGCATGTTAAATCTTCAACTTCAATCTGTACTTTCTCCTTTTGTATAGTTTGGACAGCTATATCTTTGGTTTTTACATTTTTATGTTTAGAACCATCTTTTATTTGAGATACATTCCTAAAATATATAATATAGGGAGTCAATTTCTTTTATAATATTTTCGTGATAAACTTTATGAAAATAATTTACCTTTTTGATTTTGTTTTTTTCAATTGTTGAGATTTGATCATCCTATCAGCACCAACTAATGTTTCTTTGTTAGTGGCTGATGGTTGCAATTCATGTAAAGATTTTCTAATCTTATCCTGTTCCAATAAAAAAAAAATTACTAATTTATTTTATTTATAGAGATATTATACACATGCATTAATACTATTTTAACTCTTTTTATTTTTTAATTATGATTTTATTATTTTTTATTTTTCTCACAATAATAAACATATATATAACTTTCTAATAAATTTATATATTATTCAATATGTACATATATCAAAATTTAATTGCAATCATGTAATAATTAAAAAAATTTATAATAGATTTATAATCAAATATAAGTTTTCTTTTATGTCTAAACATAAATGTATTTTTGAAATTGACATAAAAAATAATTTTCCATATTAATAAATTAAATTGTTAAATAGACATTGATAATTAACTAATAATAATAAAACAAAATTCAATTTTCATATGTAAACAACTATAGTCCAACAAATAAGGATTTTTCTAGTTTGATCACCGGTTGGTGAAATAACATCTTCAACCTTGTATTGAGATACAACAAATAATCTTATTTCAAGGTTATGTATGTAATTTAAATTCTAAATTCTCTCTTTCTAATTGTGAGATATCATCTCATAAATATTCATAAAAACTGTGTCTCACTGAACAAGAAATGTGTTTGTGACTTTCTAATTATATTTACCTTTACTTGAAAGAGAAAATATATATATATATATTTATATATATTTTTTTTCTTATCGGTTAAACAGAGAGAGAAAGAGAGATCATTTTAACTTTATTTTTAGCATCGCATTTCTTAAGAATTTCTTGTATGTGAGAAAAGAATATACTAACCTCAGAAACGGTAGTTTTTTCGTCGCCAGTAACCGTTTTCATTCTGCAGGCCGTAAGTAATCCAAGAGAAAGAATCTGAAATGAGAAATAACATTTATTCAATCTACGAAAAGCTTATTATTTATGTAAATATTATTCATAATATACAGTATCACGATTAGAATACTATATTTAGATAAAATGTCAATTAACTTTCAAACTAATTGATTAATTCACACACGTATACACACTCTTTTCTCTCTTATTTCATGAATATCTCTTGGATATATATTATGGATCTTAATCCGGCTTGAAATATCACGTTTATGATACAATCAGCTGTTCGGTCCGGAAACACCGAAACCGAAACTGGCGGGAAGAAAAAATGAAAAAAATTTAGAAAAATTCCAATCAAGGTTTATACGAAGTTAAGTGCGTTAATTCAGCTCAGAAGCCGGCACCATCAACCAATCAAATTTTTGTCGCTTGGACAATTCGAGCGACTTCGATCGAGCTTGTGATTGGTCGATGATGTGAGCTTCTGTAGAATATTGACGCGCTGATTGGCTGCAGCCATCTTGTGTGTTCCACTTGCAATTATTTATACACATTTGTCACTGACGGCAACCTATACAAATTTCGATAAAAGCGAATTAAATTAAATTAAATTAAATTAAATTATAATATTTCTTAATAATCTTATAATAATAAAATATTATAATAAAATATTATAATATTAATATTAATATTATAATTAATATTATAATATAAATAATAATAATATTATTATTAATAATAATAATAATAATATTTATAATAATAATATATATATATATATATATAATTATATTTATAATAAGAATATTTATTAATAATAATATTATTAATATTATAATATTATTATTAGAATATTAATATTAATGTATTATAATATTTTATTTAATCTTATATAATCTTATAATCTATCTTATCTCTAATATCTCACATATCTCTTTCTACAAGTTTGCTTTTATTAATTTAATTATTAAATTAATAAAAGCAAACTCGTAGAAAGAGATATATATGTGCAAATTTTGTGACATCGATATATCGATAGTCGAAAAAAGTTATCATTTTAGTTTGTGAACGTGTGTATAGATGGCGTGGTGTTCATACAAGATTTGTTGTGTTTAGTTTTTCGGAGAAAAAAAACATTCAATTTCTGTCGGCTTCTTTTCTATTTCGGTTTAATTATTACTCCGAAAAATGGGTCGCACCGACTGGGATCGAATATTATCTGTAAATGCTTCGTCTTTAACTGATGATGAAATCGAGGATCTTTTCCCGGCAGTGGTCCGATGCGATGTAAATGAGATTACTGACGTGTATAATCTGCGAACGCTCGTGAGATTAGCGCAGGAAATGTTGACTTATAAAGACAATCATGTAAAGAAACTATTACATATTATGTATATTTAATATTTTTAATTTCTTCTTATTAATATTAAAAAGAAAAAATGTATATAGTATAAACTTTTTGCCTCACTTTATAATATATTGCATGTAAGATAATTTTATTGATATTAGGTCGAGGCCTTACTTCTTGAATGCGGTGAATTGAAAGAAAAGATAGCTTCATTACGTCCAGAGGTAGCCAAACGAAAACACAAAGGTAGCTTGTTGAGTGTTTATATGATCATTTGTACAATTTTTAATTTACTCATATTTATATAACAATTTTCTTGACAGATCATGGTGTATCTGCAATAAAACAAGATAGGGATGATTTTACTAAAGTAAGTTTTTTTTTCATTATTTGTAACATTAATAAAATATTGTACTTTATATTACAATCAATTTTATTTTATGTAAAGGGTACAAGAGAATATCCTACTCCAAATACACAAGCCAGATATACAGATACAAATGAAAAAGTTAAGACACTTATGATTGAGTTAGAGGTAACAATAAAAAAATAGTTTTCTTATTATATAATAAAAAAAAGTAAAACTTACTCAATACTACTGATTTTCTAGGGTTTGGATAAGGAGAATGGAATTCTCAAAAGACAATTAACAACATTGAAAGATGAAATGGAGGATGCGACAGAGAAAATGAATGAAATGACACAAGAACTTAATTCAACTCAAGTAAAAGTTACAGAATGTAAAGGTGTTTATCCGAATAATATAGATTTTGTATATTATATATATATATATATTTATAAATTTTTATAAATTATATAAATATTATATAAATATATTATTACAGATAAGATTCAGAAATTGGAGCAAGAAAATGAAGCTTTGGTTATTCAAATTGAAGAGATAACAACACAACAAATAGATAGAGACAAAATGTTAGATGAATTCGGAGTGGCTATTGACACCAGAATATTTGAATGGAAGGTATTTTACATAAATTTAATCAAATATTTATATTAGCAAATGAAGGCGTATTTATACATATAAATTATTTATATTATAAGGGCATATTGGATGAAAAAGATATAGAAATTGCACGTTTGAAAGAAAATGTATCACAGTCTTTAATGCATTCTGTCACGTCAGTCCAAGAAGAAAACAAATCACAGATTATTCATTTAAATGATGAAATAACTCGTCGGGATGCGATTATAGTTGAATTGCAAACTAAACTTTCTGATGCAATTGTTGAAATAAATGAGAGTGCTGCACTTATAGAAAAATTAAAAGCACAGGAAGCTCAGGAGTAAGTAATATTTTCTATATATGTATATTTGTAATTTCACAATTCACATAATTTTTAGTGATTGTTTTCAAGTATGATGTATTTTACAGGTCGGTAAAAAGTGTCAAACGGAAAGAGCAAAAAAGTTTACTGAAAAAAATACAAATTGCAAATGAAAAAATATCTAATTTGGAAAATGCATTATCTCAAGCACAAGATGATGCCAAATCACAGAGTAGTAAAGTTAGACATTCATATTTTTATATCTATAGTTTGTTAAGAACTCTATATAGATTACTACAGAATTATTGCCACCATTTATTAATTTTAATTACAAATCTTATCAGATTAATTTTAATTGCAAATCTTATCTACAGACTTAATTTTTCTTCAAAGTAAAAATATGAAAATTTTATTTCGTTTTTTACAACTTTTGTTTTTTGGTATGAAATATTTTATACTTAATAAATAAATGTGATTACATTTAGAAAATTTAACGAATAAAAATATTTTTAATTATTAAGTTTTTCGTTTAATTTCAAAACATTAATATTTTTGTCTTTTTGTTAAAGAAAATTCAATTACAAATTAGTTATGTATCAATGAATCTGCAAATCAAAAAGTGGCAATAATTCTAAAATATTGTATTTATTTATTGAATTATATATACTAAAAAAATAATAACTATCTTTTTTTAATATTTTTTTTATATAGCTGTGTGAGGTATTATCTACCTTAAAAAATTATCAAGATGGAAATCAAACTTTAGCTAAAGCATTGAATGAAATTAATGAATTGAAAATCAAAATAAAACATAAGAATGAACATATTGAAGATTTAGCCAATGTTGTTAATAAATTAGAAATGTTAAATTCGTATCAAGAAATGGAGATCTTAACTCTTAGGTAAAGTTTTTATAATTTGTTTATAGCACGTGTTAAATGAGAAAATAAATTATTTTTGAGAAATGAAAAAATAACATTATTTTTTTATAACAGAGAAAAGTTAGGGATTCCAGAGGATGAATCAATATCGATTAAGAGTGTTGTAGCAAAACGTAAAGAAGAATCAAGAAAAATGGAACAACTTATTCGACAAAATAAAAACCTAATAGAAGAAAATTTAGAATTAAAATCAGATGTAAGATAATTTATAAAATATATATGTACACATATAATGTACACACACACACACAAGCACACATAACACGTATGATGTTTGCAACATTTTATATCTATTAATATTAAGAGAATATTTATTATAAATTTATTAAATATTTATTTTATTTTTTATAGATAAGAATGCTGAAATATAAATTGAGCAAGTCTGAAAAGATACTAGATATTTCAGATAACTTAGATGATTCTAGTAATCAGTTTTTACATTCAACTAAATTGATGGAATCAGAAAATATGCAAGTATCTTCTAAAACTAATACCTTCGAAGTTAATCAAAATATTCAAATAATTATAGAAGAAAATGAGGCACTTAGAAAGGGCATGCATGAGATTATGGACAGTATACGCAATCAAGATGGTGAATGGTTTTCGCTAACTTTAATGGTACTTTGGTATTGCACACATTTCCATTTCTATGACACCTTAGATTTTTTTTTAGATTTCTTTTTTCTTCTATCTAATATATAAAATAAAATTCTCCACTAAATTTACTTAATTTCTCACATTCTCTATTCGTTTTGAGCAAATAATAAACATTGCTATATATTCTTTTGTAATTTTACTATATTAATAATTTCTTTAAAATAAGTAAATAATATATTTTTTTGTGTATCTTAGGTAAGAGCGAAGTGGAAATACAATCTAGTACATTGGAACGATTATTAGAAGCTTTGGATGTTAGACATTTAGCTGGTTGGTATCATCCAGCTATGAGATTACAGGAACATCTTAACGTTACACAAGGCAGTAATACCGAATTAAGATCGCAACTTAGATTACTGAGGTATTTTATTTTTAAAATTTGTTAAATAATATTATATGAATACACAACATATACATATGTCAGCAATTTAATTATTTTATGTTATCTTTATTACAATTAATAAACCATACTTTAATGCTCAATTTACAGAAAAGAATTGCAAAAGAAGGATAATATATTACAAGATTTAGCAGCAATTAAAAATATCGATTTTGAAAAGTTGTACGAAAGACATAGCGAAGATGAAGCGATAATGACATGTCTTGCAGAAATGAAAGCTTTGCAAACGGCATATAAAAATGAGGCAGAGGAATGGGAAACGCAGAAAGATTTGTTGATTCAAGAGAGTAATGAATTAAAAGATGAGACAGATGGTTTAAAAAAGCAATTAGAAGTTTATAAGAAAAATTGGCAAATTATAGAAGACGGAGACGATGAAATTCGGAAAGAATTTGCAATAAAAACGAAAGAATATGCGAATGCTGCTTATGAAATAATAATTACGAACAGAAAAAATGCAAGTCTTAATAAGTTACTTAATAAGGAAACTGACAGATTATATGAATATCAAAAAGATATAATTAAAAAAGAGAATGATTTTAATAGAGCCCTAATTGATGCAAATAAATATAATAAAACATTATTGTCTGAAATTTCGCTCTTACAGAGTAATTTATGCAATTCTGTGAGCATAACTGTGCATAACGAATTGAAAGAGAAATATGAGGAACTGAATATACGTCATCATACTTTGTTAGAAAATGTAATAATATTTCATGATTCCAACGAAATATCATCTTTGAAGGCTGAAATAGAAGTAATAAAACAAGAGAAGTATCAACTCGTGGAAGATTTGCGAAAAATGGATAATTCCAAGAATGACGACAATTTGCAACAAAAATTAAAAGAAGTAGAAGCCAGGGAATTAATTGAAAAACAACGAGCTGATCAGATGGTTAGATTATATGAAATATCACAAAAGCAATTAGCAAAGTGCGAAGATAATGTTAAACAACTCTCTATTCTCAATTCTGAAAATCAAGAGAAATTGATTCAGATACATAAAAAATTGTCCAAGGAAATAGTGTTGCAAGAAACTACACAAATGGATGACAATCGCATACAGGAATTACAAAAGGAAAAAATGCAGCTTGTTATAGAGAATGAAAGTTTAAAAAAAAAGCTACACATTTCTGAAGATGAAGCTCGTTTGCAATATTCGTTGAATTCATTACAAACACTAGAGTTGGATAGTCTTAGGCATCAAATATTAGATTTGCAGGCTGTAAGTGAAGACAAGGCCACTATTTCGAGACTCGATTTCGAACTTACGAGTAAAAAGATGTTAGAAATGGAACTAACTACGCAAAAAACGCGATTGCAAAACGAATTATCTTGTATACAACAAGAACTTGATAGTTCAAGAAGAAAATATGAAGAGATGCGCAGTTATGTAGAAGATTATCGAAAACAATGTGACAATCGTTGCAAGTATGAACAAATTGCATTTAGATATTATTTTGTATATGAAACTTATATTATAATACATTGTTATATGTATATGTGTGTTACAGGTATTATACAGATATTATATATTTTCTACAATGTCAATATGTGGGATCAACTTCTATAAGCACTTTAGAAAAAGTAATTACACTTGCTACAAAATTGAAAATAGATCGTCAAAATATGGATACAGAAATGCAAGAAACTAAAAAATGTCATGAAGATGTTAAACACGAACAGCAACTTTTATCTGCTCGTCTTGCAATTATCGAACGTTTGAAAGATATATTAGAACAACAAATCGGCACTGGCAGCGTCCAAACTTTAATGGAACGTTTTGCCGAATCTTCACAACAGACTCTAAGTGTAAGTGTCTTTATATGATAATTTGTAAAATAAATAAATATAAAAATTAATCATAGTAATGAAATTTGGTAAAATAATATTAAACTAGCGCAACGCGCACAAAATTTTTATTTTTAATTCTAGCTTTTATTCTATAACTTTCATTAATGCATTTAAATTATTAATTAAATTTAATATTTTATTTAAAGAATTATAATAAAATAGACTTTAATACCTTTAACATTATATTTTCTAGTTGAATTTGTAATTATAAAAAGTATATTACATTATTATATTCTTCTAATTATAGGATTTTAAATACAAACGAAGAATAGCTTATTTGGAACATGAACTGCAAATTGCCAATAGTAAATTCAACGAATATGAATCAGTAATAACAAATATGGAACAGGACATGTTAAATATTCAGAGAGCTTGGTATCCACAAAAAGATAATCAGCCTCAAATTAATATACCGAATGTTGAGGCAAAGTCTATTCAAGCAGCAACGGAAACTCAAGTGGTCAGTGTTCAAACGGATTCTTATACTTGCTGCTTGGATCAAAAGGTACAAGATACAACTGAAGAAAATGTAGTGGTTAAAGATATTCAAAAATCTATTGAACCAAGTGAAACTATAAAAAAGACATTCCGAGAAGCGGGAAATAATACAGAGGAAAATGGTAGTTCGACGATCCTTAATGAAAAATTGGATCAAGCGCTGAAACTTGCATCAGAACGCTCTGTGATGCTTGTCAAGTGTGAAACACAATTAACGGAGTATAAAGCGAAAGTGGAAGCTCTGAATAAAACAATAATGGAAAAGGATTTGCAACATCAAACAACGATAGACACTCTGAACAAAGCGATCGAGGAGAAAGATTTACAGTATCGAACAAGAATGGACACTCTGAGCAAAGCGATCGAAGAAAAGGATTCACATCTTGCTCAAAAACAAAATGTACTCGATGAATTAGTAAGCCAACCGCATGTCACGAATATCGATTGTACCGACAAATTGGCTTTGAAATCGACGATAAACAGTTTGCAGAAATTAATTAATCAAAAGGAGGAGACTATTTTGAGATATCAAAATTTGTTGAAGGAAGACAGAGACGAACATAGTCGGGCAGCAAGTCGTTTTCAAGAAGAGATTAAAGGTTTACACGATCGTATTTTGGCTATGCAAAATGAGAGCAGAAAAAATGAAGAACCACTTATAAGTGTGAAAAATATTTTTGAGAAAACATCCAATGAAATTGCAGCTAAAGTACCGAGAAACAGTGCCGCGCAAGAAGAAGAAATTGCAAGACTACGTGAGAAGGTATCTACCCTCGAAGCAGAATTAAATATCAGCAAGGAATTAAGCGAACGTTGGCATCGATTAGCGGAAGAAAGATTGAAGCATATGGATCGTATGAGAGAAAGGTTTGTTTCACAATAATATAAAATATTATACTCACTCAATATTACACTCAAATTTAATCAACTTCTCAAAATTGAAAATAAATAACTTAACATTTTGTAAAATTAAAAAGAACATAAAAAATGGTTATTATGAGATATAAATAATTTATATTTTTGCAGATTGGAGCAACAACATAAAACTGAATTGGAGAGTTATCGTAGCGAATCAAATAAGTGGCAATCTGAAGCAGACACACTTAGACAACAATTGTCTGAAAATCGTATGTTACTTACAAAAGGAAACATTTCCCTGATGAAGGAGCTACAAGAAAAAGATGATAAAATATATGAACTAACTCTTGCGTGTCAACAATTACAGGTGTCGTAATTTTGTTAGATTTATTATTGAATAATATTGTATATAATTGTTCAATTTCTTAAAAGATTCTTCTGTTCCACAGAATGAAGTTGAATTGATAGAGTCTGTAAATCGAGCTCAGCAAATGACAGTACGAGATATAAAAGCAAATGAAACGCCACATCAAAGTTATCGCGATCAAATGCAACAACAAAATCAAGTAGATGTTTTACGTCGGCAGCTTCAATCTCTAATGGAAAAGGAAAAAACGTACAAGTATGAAATAACTGATTTAAAACAACAACTCAGTCGCAGGTAAATTGGCTAATTTATAAGTATGATAATTTTTATTTCTTTTTAAATTGATTTTATTGATTGTGAAAAAGATATGAATTAAAGATACTTTTTAAGTTGATTAATTGTGAAAAAAAATCTGAATTAAAGATATTTGATCTATTTCAGATATATGGCGACAAAAACTCAGGAGAAAAAAATATCACAACGTGAAACGCAACTCGAGCGCAAAGTAACATCTCTAGAAGAAGAATTGCATAAAGCTAAGACTCAATTAGATCGAGAATATCTGGCGCAAGAAATTAAAAAAGCTAAGGTATAAAAAGGATGATCTATAACAAAACATTATTTTACTAATATACTGTACTTAATGTATTTATTTTTAATAGACTGCAGAGGAACTTTCATTGTGGGAAAAGCAAAAAAAGTGGCAACAAACAGCAGAAAAGCTAAAAGAAAAACTTAAAGAAAAGACTAATGAATATGAAAAATTGCTTACGAATTACGAGAAGCTGCGATCTGTCGTTTCGTGCATGGAAAGAGAAAAATGGCATTTGAGAAGCAAGCTTAAACTTGAGAGTGATACCGTATCCGGCAATTTATCAATAAGGCCTGTTTCAACTATCCAACTTAACGCAGTAGAAAAAGAATTGGAGAAAGAATGTCGAATATTAAGAGAACGTGTTAAGGAATTAACTGATCGTTTAGAGAAAGAAAGTAATGAACATCTGATGCTAGAAATAACAGAATTAAAACGGCATAATGCGGCTCTGGAAGCAGTTTCTCAGGTTAGCATGTTTTGCAAGTTATTTAATCTTTGCAAATTATATAATAAATATTTACTGATATTATATACTGATTTATTATTATATATTTCTATTATACATATGTTATGTATATGTATATATTAAATACTTTTATTGATATTAGATGTTATATTACAGGGTAATACATGTGTAATTAGTCAATTGGAGAAATTAGAAATGACTAAAGATATTCTTGAGAAGATGAATATTAAATTGGAAAGTGAAAATTTCGAATTACGACTGGAACTAGAAAAGGCAAATTCGAATACTCCGAGACTACGAGAAAAAGTCGAACATTTGGAAAAGTATGTTTAATTATAATATATATTATATTATCATATACTGTGAAAATATCGATAAAAAAAGATTTATATTATTGCATTTTTATTTTTACAGATACATCAAGTTATTAAAAGCAGAAAAATCTTCAGATTCTACTCCTAGATCATCAGATAAAGAATTGCCAGAAACGAACAACAAAAAATCTATCTTTGAAATGGAGAAAACAATCTTTACATTGAAGAGAATCATTGAGAAACTTCAGGCAGAGAATAAAAGACTAAAATTAAATTCTAAAAAAAATCATTTTTTAACCAATCAAGTAAATTAATCTATTCTTCGATATTATATATGTTTTTTATGTAACACGCACACACATATGCATATATATATATATGTTATTATATTTTTAATACAGGGAAAGATAAATACTATCGATGGAAACATTTTACTTCAAAATCAATATGAGGAATCTCAGAAACGTGTGATAAGTTTGGAGTCAGACTTATTATTAGCTGAACAAAGAATAACTATGTTAGAAAAGGCTCAAAAGGATGATGATAATGGAGATTTTCATATCTTGAAGCAACAATTAATACATAAATCCGAACTTTTAGAAAAAGTGAAACAGTTATTGACTCGAGCAGCCATCAATGAAAAGGCATTGCGGCAACGTGTAAGAATTTAAATAATTAATGCATAATTTAAAAGATAACATTAAAAATTCTTATGTGTATATAATTTTATTATTAGGTACAACAACTAGAATCAAAGCAAAGCCTATCAACAATTCCAGAATATCATGTGACTTTACCTACACCAGAATGAGATGATAAGATGTTTGGGAGTAAACTGTTTATGGATTTATGGTAAAAAAAGCATTTTTATATTGAGATAAATATATTTATTTTATATACGTCCTATAATTAAGAATTTGTGGACTATATAAAGCCTTGTCTCCATTCCTGTTGTATAATAATTTCATATAAATGTCAATTTTTGTACACGCAGGTGCACAATGTTCATCACAATTATCGATGTAACATAGTGTCTTAAAAATATCGTCACTTCTCTCTTTATTTATAAATTCTTAAAATAATAATTGAATTTTTCTTATCATAATATTTTTCTTGATATATTCTACGTTCATATAACAAAGACATTTTAAAAAGATTTGATTTTATTACAATAAATATGAGCTAAATTTCGTTGAAAAAAATGATCGTAAGAGAGATTTAATCTTACAATCTTATATCTAAATAAAAATTATGCTGTTCGCATTTTTCTATCGCATGTTTTAATACTTAAAATATTAGACACTATATATATATATTATATGAAATTAATTAGTACAATTAATTTATTATTTCAAATATTTCTAATACATCATTCTAATATCAAAATAAATTTCGAGTTTTCTCTCGAAATTAAATAATTACTTTTGAATGTGCCGCCTTTCGATATTTCGATATTTCGATACTATCGCTTGAGAAACTCGAACCAAAGTTCCTCTACGTGTGGTGAAGTCGCGTTCAAACCGCTCCGTATTTCTCAGGTAATTTATACTGTTTAAAAATCTCGTGCACGAAAAATTGTTACAAGTGTCTTTCATGAAGTGGCAGACGGTTGCCTAAAGCACAAAGCATCGCTCGGAATCGCTCATAGTCGCTCGTATTGTATCGTGACTTCAGTCGACAATTCGGTCCACCGCGTATGTGTGTGTGTGTGTGTCTGGCCTGGCGATGCAAGTTCCCTCATATTTACTTCGCATCGCAATTTTCCTGGCACACTGCACGAAAAACTATTACGAATATCTCTTATAAAAGTCGGATATTTGTCTAGAATAGCAAAAGTATCGCGTACGATCGCTATTATATCGTGATTCCGGTGTCGGTGATTCGACCGCGTATGTATACGTGTGTGTGTGTCTGGATTGTAGATGCAAGTTGCCTCATATTTACTTCGCGTCGTTATTTTCTTGCCAGACTGCATGAAAAATTATTCCGAATATCTCATATAAAGAGTCGGATATGTTTGTCTAAAATGGTAAAAGTATCGTGTCGGTTATTCGGTCCGCGTATGTGTGTATGTGTGTGTGTGTATGTCTGTGTATATGCAGTGAAATAAGCGGGAATTTTCTAACGAATTTTTTTCATCATTTTTCCGCCAATATTTCCCGCCAAACTGATTCGCTGCGATTGATACACAATTATTGTGCCAGGTATGTTGACTATACTTGTTGTTTAATAAGTTACGATGTCGACATTATATTTTTTGCATTTTTTATTATTAATCTTTTGTACTTGGCATAATTTGAATCTCCGAAAGTGGCAATTTAGCAAATTAAGGGTATGTACATACACTGAAAAAAATGTATTGAATTCGAATAAGTATTTATTTCAATACTACCAAATAAATCATTTATTTGAAACTAATAATATTTGATATGAAAAATATTTATTTGATATAAGAAAATTCTTTTCAAAACAAATAAATATTTATTTATTTCAATTAAGTGATTTATTTGGCAGTATTGAAATAAATATTTATTAATTCAATCATTTTTTACAGTATACAAGTGGAAAGGATTAAAAATAATATTTTTGAAAATGTTATTTTTACACACACATACATATAATTATATATATATTGAATTTTACAAGCAGTGTAATACATGAGAATTTTTATATATGTCTGTGCATTGCTATATATGTATCTGAAACAATTATCTTTTTTATCTTTATATATATATATGTTTGAAGCTTTTTCAAATTATATTTTCTTATTTATTTTTAATATACTGCCACTGCCAAATAATTATGGCTCGTTTGATACGAAAAAATAAGACTATTTTTTTACATTAATTGCAATTTTTCAAGCAAGTGAGACTAATTTTTTCGTCTACATAATTAAATATTTTTTAAAATTATCAAATATCAAAGTATATTTATACGCACTAATTTCAAGAATCTAACTGTATGCAGAGAAATATTTTTAACTTATTTAGATGAATAGAGAGATGATATCAATATTGACAGATTTCATAATTATGTCTCCCTTTTAAATCAAAACCGTACATTTTTGTAATATTATGCATAATTTATTAAACAAATTCGTTATTTTATAAGTCAGTAAATCTTTCATTTAGATAATAAAGTGCCGTATACATATACTTATAATATTAAATTAATATCTTACATATTTAATATCTCTCTGATTAAGAAAAAATATATTTACATTTAATATATATTGATATATATATATATTAATATAGATATATTATACAAATATATATTAATATATATTGATATATATATATTAATATATATTATACAAATATATATTAGTAAATAAATAATATCATAAAATTATATAACAATAACGATTGCTGATATAATACTATTAATTTAGGGTTAATTGATTAAACATTATTTAATCGATATTTTCATACAATTCTTTTGTTTATCAGCAATTTTAAATAATTTGTAATATGTGATAGAGCGTTGAAAGATTTTACCTCAGAATCTCTTCAAACTTTTAAGTTACATCTTTCAAAAGATATATTTTTCATGAAATAATAATAAAAATTTGCAGTTACAGTATTGATTATAATAAATTTTAATAAGTTATAATCTATAGCAACAATTATTTCATTAAAATTTGTATTTTTTTATGATGCGCAATTACGAAGTTTATTATTATAATGACGTAAAGATGAGAAAGAGTGGAAGAAGTTTGATTTATTCTGTAGATTAATAATCGTTCTCGGGCACCTGCAAAAAGGGACGAATTGAAAACTCGTCTTCGCAGTCCGGAATTAGTTTGCCCTTGTATTTTAAACAAAAGTCAGCACACTTTTCGCCGATGAAGAATGAGCCAAACATCTTCCTGCATTGTGCACAGTTCCGAATACAAACACCTGTATGTACAAAACTGATTACAGGAGCATATTACGGTCAACTAAGATTTTGATTAATAATTTATAATGATATAATTTTATAGAGATTTATTACAGATTTACTTACCAATATTTCGTTCGGCATCAGCCATAGATGTCGTGAAGCAAAAAACGGCAAAAACAACGACGAATAATGCAATGACACGATTTAAATTCATGACTGAAACAAAAATAAATATACATAAGATTTATATCTTAATTTTTAACCATAAAGATTTTTGCAAGGAAAGAAAATAAAATTTTATGTTGATTAGTATAAATAAAAAATAAAAAATATCTAGGCAGCATAGAGACGTAATAATAGTAAATTTTATTTATAATATCGAAAAGATTTTTTTATGCATCACAGCTAAAGAGTTACAGATTTTCTTTTATTAAAGTTTATTTAGATATATCAATTTTTGCATGATACGGTTCTATTTTAAAAATTTATACAAAATTATTGCTTATGTATCGTTTACACTTTTGAATATAAATTTATGCAATGTGTTAATGCTAATGTTGCAATTAAAATTTATCTAATGGTTAGATAATAAAAATTTATAAAAATATAAAAGATTTTATATTATGCACACACCATACGCGCGCGCGCGCGCGCACACACACACACACACACACACACACACACACAAAACAAATGGAATAGAAAGTGCCAGTGAACATATATAAATGATGTCTTGCAACATTATACGATGTGAAATTAAAACTACATTCTGAATTCTATTCAAGCTATCCTTATGCCATTTGAATGTTAATATATAATCTAAATAAATCTTTAATTGATAATTTAGATCATGATTACTGGATCATGTAGTTATTATATTTGTTCTCTCTACAATAATGAAAAAATATAGACATCAAATTTATTATTAGTTAAACACACATGGTAGAGACATGGGAGAAATATCTCTCTAATTTTTTAATATATATATATATACAATATATACATAAAAAATTAGAAATATTTCTCTCGTGTCTCTAACATGTGTGTCTAATAAGTTTGATATCTATTTTTTATTCTTATAGAAACAACAAATATAATAATTTTTAAAAAAAGAATATATGATTAATATTTTATATATTTTTATTGCTAATCTTTTATATATTTATCTATTTTCTTATTCGTTCCTTTCGAAATATTATAATATATAACTAAGGCTTATATTTCCAAATATCGAAAAAAAATGTATTAACCGAATCTTCCACAAAAAGTTATCTAATCATGTATATAATAATTCTAAAACCGAAATTTTAAAACCGAAATTATATTAACCATATTATAAAGCCGATATACATATTTTAAGAAAAAATACTTCGAAAAGAGTGAGACAACACGAAAAATGTTCTTTCCGTCGTTTTGCATTTCCGGTTTGCAATTAGCACTCGCTTGAGAGGAAGGACAGAGAGGGAGATGGCCGCGGTTGAACTTGATAAACTTTCAGGGATAACTCGGATGTTAAAAGTATCTCTTTTTTTAGAAAAAAAAGAAAAAAGATGGATAAAAAATTGATAAAAAAATTTATTAAAATCACTTGTACTCGTATTAATTCATTATGAAACGTCAATCACCCCGGATGAAATATTTCGATAACAACAAATATCTAAAAAAAAAAGAAAAAGAAAAATCTAATACCGGATATGATGTAATTATTTCTTTGATTAAAATATAAAATAACCGATGCGTTGCCGAATATCCTTTGCTAGGTTTTTCTCGTGCCTTGTACACGAGAAGAGATGCGTCTCGTCACTATTTTTTTTTTATAAACACAGTCGTTTATAACCGGAATCTTTCTCTGTTAATCGCGCTTCCGCGTTTGTCTTAGCGTCCACATTGTGAACACATAAACATAATAAATATGGATGGAAGGTATCTTGATTTACCGTCTTCCTCTCTCTTTCTCCCTCTCCGTTTCTTCTCTTTCTCGCCGTCCAGGAAGCACTTAAAGATTCAAGACCAAGGATCGCGGAGACAGCATTCGATACCAACATTAACGCATGTTGCACGAACAATGACGTTGATCGATTAATGTGATCGATCGATCAACGACGTTTGAACGGATCTTTTTAGGCACGTGTAAGAATCAATGAATTTTTCGATGGAAAGGCGCGCATTTTCACGAGGTGAAAAAAAGAAAGGTTTATGAATTTCGAGAGGAACGTTTTTGAAAATAAGATTCTTTGTACGATTTATTTACCTGATCGATGCGGCAGCTTGAGAAGGCGAAACTGTTGGAATTGTTAAACGCCGACGAATGACACTGAACAGACTACTCGACGGTCTTATATATCCGCAAACGCCGGATTCAACCCTCGCGTTAAGGAAACCCCCGCTGCTTATCTTCCTTTAATTTGATTTCTTCAATTTCCTGCACTCAGTGCATCGAAGTTATCTATTTATTTCTATTAGTGCTTTTGCACATAATAAGTTATGCATTACTTCTTCAGCTTTAAAATAATTGCTCTACACGGAGATCATTTTTTTCTAGTATTTACCCTGAAAATCATAATCGTGAAACGATATAGTATTGGAAGAATTTTATGAGTTTTTCTAATTAATATTTACAACACAATAAAAAATATTAATATGTACCTACATAGTAAAATTAATCGAACACATTTTATATTTTATTGTGGTAAATATATTAATCAGAGAGAGAGAGACTCATAAAATTTTTTGAATACTATATTGTCCACGATTGCCATAATTTTCAGAATGAATTCTAAGAGAAAATTCTCTCTGTATAGTAATTGAATACGATATATTCTATGTTTTACTCTTTTTATATATATTTTTATATTGTCTTTGCTCTTGAAGCTTATATTTATTATTATTTTCATATAAAATACAATTCATTATTATTTTCATATAAAATTTTGACACATGCTACATTTGGATATATGATATGAATTACAAGTATTTCATTTACAAAAATAAATGTCTTATAGCCTTTTAAATATATATGTAGCTTTATATAAATATAGATATTATACATACATCCTTATATATTTTTATTACTGTTTTAAGGATATTTATTTATATATTTTTTTAATTCGTTATATTTATTTATTTATAAATCATGCAATTAAAATGACTACTAAATCAAAAGTATTATTACAGAGTATATTAATTATATTTAATTTCTAGTAACATTGTGCATTATAATCAATATTTATTACTATAATAATATAACAAAATAGATAACTGTTGTGCTAATTGATCCAATTGCATAACATAATAATGACAATTGCTTATTTGATCTAATTCTGAAAAACATAAACATGTAATAACAAGGGGATGTAGGTTTAACATAATATATTATGATACCATGATTTTATATAATTTGTGTTTTCTAAGTTTCTGTTTCTTCACTCGTCTCATTTTTCTTACGAGGCGACTCATATTCTAAGCTCCAGAAATTTTTATATCTGATCGGCACCGTTTCACCTTCTTCAATCATTTTGTCGAGATTCTCATCTAATCTAGAGAAACGGTCCTTCTTATCCAAAATTTTTGACAATGTTTTATGCACTTCTTCTCTTTTTCTCGATTCTTCTTTTTGTCTCTCTTCTTCGGCTGTTGAGTTATCTCGCAATTGATCCAAAATATCCTTTGTAAAATAACGAGATAAAAATTCATTCTCCGTGTCGATCGATTCGGATGATTCTTTATCATTGTTCTCTCCGAAAATATGCTTAAGGAAATCTTTATCGTCATAATGATAATAATCTTCATTGATTACGTCACTATCTTCCGCTTTCTCTTCCGTCGAAGAGTGAATATTCTTTTTTGCCTCATCTCTATCATCAAAAATGATTCCATCATCGTAATTTCCGTTCTTTCTGAAATAATTGTATGATTTTTCTTTTGGAACCGTGGCATATATGTCGAACTCTTCAGATTCTTTGCTGCGATCTGCGGGTTTTTGCTTGTATTTCTTGTTTTCCTTGCCATGAGTAGTTTGTATACTTTCAAATATAGGGTCGTTTTTAATAAAATCATCAAAATTAAACGGTTTTTTATATTCATTTATATCAAAATCAATAAAATCTGTAGCAGAATTTTTACGTTCGTTGGATAACATAGATTCTACGGAATCTTCTTTAGAATGTTGAACATCGTCGCTAATTTCGGTATTATTGCTTAATTCGGTATCTTTAATATCATACTTGTTAGTATCTTCAACATCATACTTATCAGTACATTCGATAGAATCTTTATTATTTTCTGTGCAACGTGAATGCGAGGTATTTACATTTAATGAAATCTCCGGTTCGTTATTTTCGGTTTGAATATTCTGTAATACTTTAATCTCAGCGTTTGGCGACTTCGACGAGATTTCAACAGGATTGTAAGTACTTTTAAAATCAATATAATCGCTGTCATCATATACTTTATAATTTGCTGCAGTTGAGTTCTGATTGTCTTTATCTAAACTCTCTTCTTGTTGCTCAGCATAATCTGGTACCTCTACGTAAGGAATATTTACCGCATCATAAATCGGAGTTGTGTTGATTGAATAATCATTTGTATATTTTATTTGATCTTCCTTTTCCGAAGTATTATCAATCGTGTGCTTGATTAGTGAAGATGAAACGGTAGAATTTTCTTGTTCTTTAGAAAAATATGGCAATCTTGGCTCAATTGTGACTTTTTGTGATTTATTATGCTTTTCATGTTCCGTTGCATTATCAGAAGACAAATAATCAATATTAGTTTCGACATTATCAGGAAATTTATTCAAGTCATCTACTTCGGAAGCGCTTGCAGTATTTACGTTTGACGACGAGATCAGATCATTATTTAATTTTATCATGTTCACTATTGGAGTTGTAGGTTGCCATTGAGTTTTATTAGTAAAGCCTGATATATAAGGATTAGATATTTTTCGCGAATTTGTCGTTTCCGCGGTTTCAAGTGTCACTTTATCATTTATCGCTTGCAGCTGTTTATCTTCTGTATGATTAACCTTTCCTTCTTGCATGCATAATTGAGTATTACTTTTCGAGATATTTCGTTTAGAACGAGCTTTCGTGTTTCCATATATCGATTGAGTTGCATTGATTATATTCCAGATACGTTTATAAAACTCTTGTTCCGGTTTAATCTTAGGAGTTGTTACTTGTAAATTTAGTTTCTGCGACTGTGAAGTTATAATTTGATCTTTATTAGCGCACGTTGAATTATTTTCAGAATTATTTTTCAAAAAACTGTAGTCGCTGATGATATCGGAATGAGGACGAGTACCGTTAATGTATTCCCAAATACGTTTATAAAATACAGTACTCGGTATCGCGATATTGTTCGGTACTTTAAGATCAATTGCACGTTTTCTCGTTGGCAAAGACTTTTTTTGTTGATCCCGATAATGAGATTTTGGATAATGCGCTCGTTTATTCGAAGTGAAAGTTTTTTTCTTTCGATCATGCCCTGAATCCGTAGCTATCATCGAGCTGTATCTCGATTTATGAGACGAACGTTTTAAACGTTTCTTTCCAATCATTCTCTTTATATTTTTCATTGTTTCTGATATTTGTGCGCTTCTTCGCCGCTTTTGTCGAATAGCCTCAACAATCGTTGTAATTTTAACAATCTCCATATCAGGCGAGATATTTATATTTTTATTTTGATCATTTATAGGAGAGGACTTTGGCGACATAATTTGTTTATTTAAAGATTTGTCTTGCAACTGTAACATTTTTTTATGCATTTCTAAGCTCTGTGCATTTTTTTCCCATTTAGCATGACGTGGATATATCCACCAAAGCTTGTTCGGTTTCTTTTTTAAATTGTTTGCTATACGTTTTCCCATGGGCGAATCTTTCGATTTATGATTAAAATTAATATATAATCGCTGCAATACAGGTTTAATTTCTGATGCAGTTTTCTTTATGGCGTCCTGAAAATAACCGAATTATAATTAGCAGCGATAAGCACTATAGTTCTAAAATTATACTATAATTATGAATAAAGCAATATTTAAAATACAAATTCTTAGAATTTAAAACAATAATACTATTACTATTATATATTACGCGTTTTAATTATATATTACATATTTTATGCAATATATATTTAAATAATAAATAATAAGATATTATTATTGTTTGTCTAAATCATTTTTAGACGAGATAACTATAATATTAAAAATGCATTTAATTACATATAAATGCTAATTTTTATCGTTATTTGTTTTATACACAGTGCGTTTTGCTGCACTTGAATTTGGTGCGAGACATTACCGTGTTTCTCGATGACAATATATTTTTTAAATATTTATTTTATACATATTTTTATTATATAATTCTGTTAAAATATAGAATAAAAATATAATAAAATATAATAAAAATTACATAAGACCACTGTGCCGTTATTATACAATGCTATTGATTTCAATAGATCGCTAAGCATGTGATGGCTTTAATATGTAACGTGTAATGAACCTCCAACTTCTACCAACTTACGTGCAATTTCTGCTTTGCATGTCCAAGATAATACAGAAAAAGATACATACAAATTTTAAATGGCACTCTTATTAAAGTGATTTTATTTCTTAATTGCAATTATGTACAAAATACAAAATGATACCTACATTATTACAGTGGCCCAGAAAATCACGATTTTGATAAATAGATTCATTTAAATTTGTATGAAACAATAAGAAATATCAACACCGTGCAAATTTCCGAGTCATTGTGTATTTACAGTCTTGCTCATTACAATAATACTTGAAACAATAATTAAGCATTGTATAAAATAATGTACATTTTTATTAATATATTTCTATTCGCGAGCTTATCAATGACAAATAAAAATTAAATTTTATATCACTTCAATATATTGAAGCAAATACATTTATATGATGCAATTGATATTTATGATGTATTAATCCATCTTAAAAAATCGTTTAAGAGAGAAAAAGAGAATGAAAAAAGAGCTTTATATATAAAAATATAATACATATATAAATTACGTTAAAAAATTATCACTATTGAATATAAGTTATTATTATTAAATATATATTATAAAGCAATAAGATAATATAGAAAATAATAATAGAAAAATAATAATTTATTGTTTGATAACTAATTGAAGCTCAGTCATCGTTATGGAAGCACGATAAATATAAATATTGCGCGAAATTTTATTTCAATTATTATATAGTTAACATTATGAGTATATAAATATTTTATTATACTTTATTATAAAGAAGATAAAAAAATTTCTACTAGAATATCGCAATTCTTTTAATATCAAGTCTCTTTAAGTGCATTAAAAATATTTCGTAAATACGTACGTATGCCATTACACGATATACATCTTGCTATACATACACACGTGTATAGATCAACCGTAATTTCCATTCGTGTGTTGCACTTTAAATAGCATCTTAGAGTCGTATGAAGTATGAAGATGGTGGATATTTTATGATCAGGCGTTTATCTTCTTGCGGTTCTCTGCGGTTATTTTTTCGAGAAGCCCAGATATGAAGCAATGCCATTAATATTCTCATAGAAGATTCGATAAGCTTGTTGTTTGTTGTAGTACTGCGGTATCGCCGGTTTCACCGAATCTCCCGATGTGTCAAGCAATTGTTCCTCCACCCATCGCTATAGTACAATAGGTAATTGTAGGTAGATACTAATGTGGTGCATATGTGGCAGTTGGCGGAGAAATAGGGAGTGGAATTCAAATGACACTCTATACTCTATCACATATTTTTGGGAACAAACGTGATTATCTGATTCTAAAAAAAAATCAAGCACATACGATATACTTTACTCGGTATTGAATATTAGGGAACCGATGTATAGGGATGTGTACAAGACAATGTAAAAAACAAAGGGATAACCGTGAACAAATAATGAAAATAAACTCGATATGAGAAATTTTAATAGCATTAAAAAGTGTGAAAAAATATTTTTAAAAATCGAGCGTTTCTTTTATATCAGTTTCAGCATTTGTGCATTTTCAACAAATAATGTCTGTATATAATTTAGAGTTTCTTCTTAATTGACAATGTGAAAACCGTATAAAAAACATGCAAAATATATAAAACAACAGAATAATAAAAAACATTGTTTAAAGTATTATATTTAAAAAGATGGCACTTACAAATTTCGCATATAACAAATTGTGTAGTATATTTCGGATAAGAAGAGTTTAGATTTCAACTTATAAAAATACATTATTCGCAATTCGTAATTCGTAATCGAGTATACATAACATAATCAAATGATCGCGCTTTGCATTAAACTAAAAAAACCAGAAGTTTTAGTTTTTTCGGAAAATTTTTTTATATTAAGCAATATATTTTTAATTTATTTTTTAAAAAATAATATGACGGAAAATATGACGTAGATTATTTTTTTAATGTTTTGATCGAAAAATCAAAATGTATTTATTCCACAGTAGTATTGAAAGGACTAGATATTAAGCACTGTAATATGTTAAATATTATATAGTAATCCGTGATATTAAAGAGGATAATGTAATAGGCGGTTACGTGCAAAAAATAATTCGACTGAATTGTAATTTACTATATACAAAGTGTGTAATGTATGTGTAGTTACACAGTATTATGTTTAATCGGACATGAAATACTATTTAAAAAATAAAGAAAATTATGGCAAATGAAAAAAATAGTTTAATATATATTATTTTGAAAATCTATTGATATTAAGAAAATTTTGATAATAAAATATATTAAACGCAATCTGCAATGATCAATATACGTGATATAACGTAATACAAATTATAGCCAAATTTTGTGACAAATATTTAAATATTTGAGCAAAGTTATCTGTCACATGTAGTATAAATAAAATGCGATATTTGTAGACATAGGTAAAAATCATTATATATTTATTATAAATATAACATTAAATAAAATAAAATAATAATGGACAATTTTATAGAAATTATAGGAAAAATTCTCAATTATATAATATTAAAATCTGTGTAATCATATGTATTATTCAAACTTTAATATTACACAGTAACAAATAATTTTTCTACACAGAAAAGACCAAAAACTTGATGCATAAATGACATTCGGTTTCAGAGAGTTGAAGTAAATTTCTGAATATATATGAAATTTTTGTTTCTTTTTATACGGCAATGTAGATAAAATAGAACGCACTTCTATTAAGAGAAGCAATATGTACATTTTGTTTCGAGAAAGATTACTGTGGAATCTAAAGGGATTCTTTAATTTGTCCAGCGTCGATATCTTTAACTAACGCGGTATCTTTAACTGATCAATCTGTATTGATCAAATCGATCTTGCTATCGTAATAACATAATTGCATTGACGTTTATGAGCCATTATCGAGTGTCACAAGTCATGGTTTATGAATCGAAATTCCGAATCATTTTATATATAAATAAGATAATTGAATATATGATCGACACTGATCAACTCTATGTTTCTTCTTCACTTTTATGTTCTACATGGTTGAATCGAGTCTCTTGACTTAAACGTGGATTCTTAATGTATTGAATTGTTTGCTCTACTTCAACACGTGCATGTCTACGGGGTGATCTCGGGTTAAAGTGCCTAAGGGTTGGGCTTCTTGGCTCGTGACTCGGTTGATTACGTGGTGGTGTTCGTCTAAGGGCACTCTGTTTATTTCTAGAGTGATGGAACAGACCCTTTCTTATTTCCCCAACTGCCCGTATTCGTCTGCTAGATTACTCACGTATTGTGTGGCGTGACTCGTCGGGAAATCGGCCCATTTTGAGAAGTCGATGCTGGGTAGAATACCGCTTCGACACGGGACTCGAGGGTTTCTATTGCGACAAAATTGTAAAAATTAGATTTTTAATTAATTTAAAAAATCAACTTTTATAATCGAGCACGTTAGAACAGAAAAATAATTACTTTTACTAAACAAGAGACACACATTTTTAATTCGTTAGTATATTAAATGAAATAAGTAATATAAATAAAATATAATAATATAATAAAAATAATATATAGACATTTATAGATTTTTTATAGTGAATGAAAGTTCAAGTTTGATGTATATGCATGTTTGATTACGAATATAATTTTTATTCGCTTCCATATTTTTCACAGCTATATACAATTAGAATATTCATTATTATTCATTATTTTTATAAGGAATAATTATTACGATTATTATGATATTTAACGATGTTCAATAAATCGTTTATTCATCATGTATAAATCGTGTTCATACTTACATTTCATGATCGGGTAAGACCATCGGATAGATTTGTATCGTATCAATAAGATCGGTATTGTCACAGATTACTCTGGCGAGCTTTGACTTTCGAATCTCGTTGAGTTGTTCTAGAAAAGTGAAAGCAAGCGCAGTTTTAGAAGGTACAATATCACTTCGTTATATTTCGATCGATTATCAATCGAGTCCTTGGATCGCGCGACTCGCGAATCCCACGGATTCGAAAGGGTTCTTTCTCACCGGGAGTGAAGGACGATGGCTGGTTCGGCAGCTCGTACCAAAATCTGTCGCCACGACGCGAATGACTGAACTGCGTGGCAATCAGGCAGGCGAAGGTTGGCCCGAGCATGCTACCCGGAAGCGGTCTTTCGGATACGCCGCCCGACCATAAATCGACGTCTGCAGGATGTCTGAAAAGGAGCGCGGCCGAGATGAAGCCGTTACTTTTGAATACGCTATATTTAGAACCGCCGCACGATCGGTCCACTAACTGAATAATGAGATGCAAAATTTGATCGATCGGCCTTTCCGAAGGTTTTCGCCGCTGGCGCTTACCAGATATATTATACTCACTCGAAGATAGTACTATATCGTCTGACAGTTTCGTTCGGCATGGAACCGAACAATTCCTCGAAGCTGTTCGCTTCCGGAAGGCCGCAGTATTTTCTGGAATTATCAAATTACGAAATGGTTATATGTCTTATTCAAATGCAAATAAATAATCTCTTATAATTTGTTTAAAATTAATTTTCATGTATTTATTAGCGTTAACTGACGCTTATTATATTTTTTTAAATTATACTTAAAAATTTTGAATTTTTCTATTTTTGTCGATTATTAAGAAATAATTAATTTTATATACATAGCTCTGCATGGCTTATTCTTCGTCGATTTTATTAGCATTCAATTTTATTCTCCAATTGCATTTATTCTTTATAATACTTACTATATTACTCACTATAGGTATAAAGGATTATAACTGCGCAAAACATGGATGTGCAATTATAGTTAGTTAAACAAGGTAATCTGTGATAATTCTGCTCACCTGAATTCCATATAACTTGGAATACCAAACTCACGACCACGTTGCATGTTAAAAGACACCAGATCCAATCCGAATTTTGCCCCTATTTTTTTGAACAGATGATTCGTTACCTGTAAAAAAATAAGTCATATAATATAGCATAATTATATATTTTATCGATTTAATCATTGTCTTACTTCTTGTGTTATGGAATCATCCATAGCCTGAGCAACTTGGTTCATCAAGCCCATGAAATATTCGTCAAACACACCGGCGCGGTACAGATCATAAGGTCGTCTTATCAAGTCTGACAATCTCTTTGAAGCTATCAAAACAAATATTTATAATTAGGTTTGAGGGAAAATCGTAAATAATTAGACAATTCCTGTAAAATTTATCTTATTAATTTTATTGATGATATATTTATGAAAAAAAACATACACACAAGTTCTGATATACTTTGTATGCAATGTAATCTTGTTGTGCAATGTCGCTTACCAATAAATTTGTGAGCTTTACTCCATCGTTCTACAGCCGTGGGCAATAACGAGTGACCAAATCTAAAAGCAGCAGCGGCGAAAGCATCTATTACGCCTGGATTTATATTCGGGTCGTATCCGTCCCAGTAATTCTACGAAAAATTAATACTTTAACGTCAACATGGTTATTATTGATTATTAATGACTGTCTGACGAACGGAAAAAAATAAACACAGGAGACACATGTCGTTAAATGTTATATATCGTTAAATTTCAATCGGTTATTAGAAATTTTTAGTTGTACGACAACTATATAAATATCTATTTAGTCTCTAAGTAAAATTATTTTTATACTTATATGCGGCAGCATAAATTATAAATAATTCATGTTTTATGTTTTCTGTTTATTTCAGAATCATCAGTGCTACTCACATCTTTCTCGAGGAGAAGTCCAAATTTCTCCATGACATCTTTGCCGAGTAATATCGGGAGGAACTCGTTATAAGTGATGTGTTGAATTTCCGCGATGACGATGCGTCTGGCTTCCTGGAAGAGAGTTTCATCGTCCCAATGCGGATTTACGATGGCCAACGCTTTGGCAATCCGGTTATGCTCTCGCGCCATTAAAGTGTGCATACAAGTAAGTACCAGCTGTTCATTCACACGAATCTCGCCTGAAAGTAAGGACAGAGATGACTGATACTATTAATCTTGTCTGGAATTTAAAAAAAGTAATTAATTCTCACGCACGATCGAAGATAAGGAACTCGCGATACTTTCACAAAGAATCAGATAATTCTTTCGTTCCGTTGTATAATGCATTTTACATTATGACGACAATCTATTCTATAGCGTAAGAAACACATAAATTATGATGCAGACAATTTATTAATCTATTAACTATTATATCGATCAACTTTAATTCGTTCGGATCTAATTGAAGAGATATTTATGAAGGATAAACTTTCCAAGCATAATAATTTTTTATTATATGCATGCTGTATAAACGGACTTTTCAAGCAGTTCACAAATATCGTAGACTATACTATTTTTTTTCTAATATTCTACTTTATGGAAGTCGATGTCCTTGCATCGCAACCACTCTCTTTCTCACCCACATCGCTCGACGTACTGATAATCATGCGATGTAGGTACGATGCCTACCGATGATAGTTAAAACGAGCATTAAGTCAATTACACGTTATCCGAAAAAGAAACAAAAACCGAAATAATAACAGCCAATTTTGTGTAGCAATTGATATTTCCGTAACACGCGATTAATGTAAGTACAGGGTATATGAGTGAGATGCCTCGCCGAATGCTCACACGCGAATGTATACGAAAGGAAGATTTATGATTCAGAGTGCTTCTGTCTATATTCCGGCTCCAGGCATGATTTATAGGACCGCATAGAAGTGTATGATATAAGTGCATACAATTATCGCCGCGATCGAATTGTTTTGTCTAACCAAATCTTCGATCGGATTCCTCGTGCACATTGCGGTGAAGTTTCCCGGATAATCGACGGACTGACGTGGGAAAATAATTTCTGGGCGAGTAAACGCGAGGAAAAGAGAAAGACGTGGGTGCCGGGCAAAATTATGAGGGTGATCGGACGTCGATCACGGTCATCTCAAGAAAGCATATAGGTAGTAAGCGGCGCCGCGCGAGAAGGCAGTAACGAGCGTGACTTATTGCTCCATTGTCTTGTATCATCAGACGCGTAAAAATCCGCAGAAATTAGAATAGTTACATTAGCACGGTTACATTCGACTCACGCCGACTGCATGTATCGCTCATTTTAAATTCAAATGAATACAATTGACCTGATAGTTCGCCCCCGCGCGTTTGTACGCTGTATTTTAAAGTTACGTTTACTACTTCGCGAAAGTGCCGGTCTAGTCTAAAGCAATAACGAAGCGATTGATTTGTCACGACCATCATCCATAATATATCATAAGTACATGCAGCAACTATACGGGCAAAAATGCTAGGAAATATTACAGGATATTACACGAGACATTTCATACCGATTGAATATTTTTTCTTCATCATAGATATCTTGAAAAATAATTACAGATTTGAAATTAATTTTTTCGTAGAACAAGCAAGACAATTTTTAATAATAAAAACATCCAAATAATTAACAATAAATTGCAAGTTGTATTGTTTTTTTAAAATATTATTAATTGTTATTCATTTAAATTTTAAACATTTTTTGATAAAATTCGAATGCATTAGTGCTCAATATTAAAACATTTATGTTATTTTTATATTAAAACTTTGATTTTTATATATATACATATATATATATATATGAATGGAAAAATATACTCTCTGTGGATTAAGAATATTTTTTACTAGATTTTGCATATTTTTTAAGCATATAAAATATAAATTACCGGCTTCGAAGCAATACATCGATCGATTTGGTCGAGTGCATCCTTCATCCGGTATATCCAATTTCAGCGGCAATAGATCTTTAAGACCGTACTCTGAAAAAACTGGATTCATTCGTAGTAATCCACCATAACCCGTTCGAAGTTTTCTAAAAAATAAAATAAAAACATTACATAAATATTTCTTTTTCTCTCTTAGGATTATTATGCAATAATCTTTAGAATCCATAAAATAAACCTTTTTTCAGAAATTTTTATGAAAATGTATAACGAGCGCATTCTTAAAACTTTGCATTTGAATATAATACAATACCTATATGTATCTGGATACAAAGAAAGATACGTATTAGAAACAGGAAATATACATAATAGACCGTGTGTTGTATATGTATATATGTATATGTATGTGATGTCATGAAGGACCGTAAAAGATAGCAAAGATTGAGCAACTTCAAGATTTGTAGATTGCATCCCATTACATGCTAGAAAGTGCGAAGAACCGACGAACGTGCGAAGGCACGTGTCTATGTTGTAAAAAATAGGAACAACGCAACGCTGATTTATTGTCGTCGATTATGTAACATGTCTATATCGTTTAAAAGAGAATAAAATCCGCTTTTCGCACCAAATGTATGCGCACAAAAAATTTACTTACTCCAGAGAATAATTAGCGATTATTCTCTATACATTTTCTCATGTCGTTATGTTTACATCATTATAAAATACTATAACTATTATTTAATTAATTTTGGTTTGTTATTTTTGTTAAAATTAATATGCTCACAATTTCTCTACATAAATACAGTATAATTACTTCATATGTATATACGCGTGTTATATATAAAAATTCGCGCAATTATAATTTTCATATTCGTCTTACAATTAGATGAAAATAGGATCGATCATGCGCGCGTTTCTCATTGCACAAATACTTGGAAATAATTACTTTTTTATTAGTATTCGAAATAAAAAGAAAATCGTTGCAATTTACCTAGCGAAAGCTTCCGTGATGCCATAAACGGTATTACCATCCAGCACACCTGTAAGAAGATTGAAAGGCACTCGAGAACCGAGACGGCAGCCAGGTCGTACGGCAGGAAAAGCGCGAACGAAGTCCATACATTGTACGTTAAACAATCTGTAGAAGTAGTCATCCTCTGGTATGAGGATCTCGTTGCAGTAAGGATTCTTCAGGTGTGGCGGCCGGCCGCAGCATTCTTCCGGGTCGTTTCGGTTCAAGGGGTCTGCAAACGCGATGATCGATACATTATGATTGCAAAGAGCGATAGCGCGTTCCTATTACGCACACTTCATACATATTCCGCATGCGGCGAACCGACGGAATATCAGTTTTCGATTGAATGGAACACACTACAAATGTCGACTATTCTCTCTGTCGTAATCTCAATTGTGTTAGACGAAGGAAAAATCGACGTTGTCGATTAATTATATCTTTTTCTGCGGGAAACGCACACACATGTGCGTGGGATCGCCCGAAGGGGCGATATAACACACAGAATTGCATTCCAAATTATTCTCTTTTCTCGAGAACGATTTAATAGTTGACGTAAATTGTCGCACTCATTTCTCAGTGCGACTGCAATTACAAATCAGCGTTTTGCCAATTCTGGTTGACGCATTTCGCGGCGATGTGATCTCAAACCAACGAGTTTTGCTGCTCGGAAACGTTATGGACGGACACGTGAGTGGTTTATCCGACAATGATTGTTCGCTTTCTCTCGTAGTTACCCTCCTTTCGATATATACGGTAAATGTAGAAGGGCCTGCGAGAGCAAACGACCTAAGAGATGCGCGTGAGAGAACATATATATATCAAATATCTCGATACAGTTGCTCGACGCAATATGAGCAGTCAGTTTATTCATTCGAGGCTAGCTTTCTAATTTCTATTCTAGTTGCATGATTGAATCGGCAGGCTTCAATCGTGATAGCTCACAAGCTGACGAAAATGTCATTAAACATTTCATTGTTGCTTTCTCTAACATAAGATTCGTTATATCATGATTGAAACGAGATTATATATTGTAACAAATTTCATATATTGATTAATAATTTCTTCATTCACATTAGTAAAGAATAGAAATGTTTATTTGAAAATTCAACTATTTTGTCGATAAATTTATAAGATAATTTTTCACAGAGAAAAATTTTTACGGCATTAATGTGATTGAATGTTTTATAATTTATTATTCATCTATTTAAAGAATTAGATAAATTATTAATTATATTGTATTATTTAATTTATATATTTATAGATATATGAATTAATAATCATATTAATTAATAATACATACTATATACATATGTATAATTTCGAGTTCATTTTTTTCTTTTGTTGTATTGACCCTAGAATTGCTTCTAAAGATAATCTAAAAAAACTTGATTTTTTAATTTTTATTATATTTTGCAAATTATATAAAATATAAAATTCCGAGTTTTTATTTATTTGATTATATATATAGCTTCGCATCTCATTAATATAATCAAATCATTTCGGGAAGAAAAACATATTTCTAACGAAAACGAAGATGTAATAATCGCGGTACGAAATCAACAACTGTTGCGACAAAAGAACCTGTCGCAAATGTATCAAAAATTTAATGAACAAAATACCTAGAGGTGTGCCGGTTAAAGTATAATCGTGGTCCATGAATTGCCCCCATGCGATCACCATAACCGTGCCGGCATGATCGTGATAACCCTCGTCCGGATGCATGGTTCGCGACACGATTCGGGATAATGGTAGATTACGACCCGTCACGGATATCCTTGGAGCTGATAAACCATCTGCGAAACGCGGAGTAATCAATCTGCAAGAATAAGAAGTAAAGGAGGCGTTGAATTTATCGTGTATGTGAAGCTGAAGTCTGATTTCGTAGAAACTTAATTCTTACATCATGTATATTCTAATGCAAAAAATAATAAGATTTCTCTAATATATGTATGTATTTTTTAATTGTTACAGACAGCACTACTGATAAGCTGTGCGCGAGTTTGACCGCAAGATTCTCGAGTGCCGAATAAATCGTTGCTTCGTTTGATTATAGTTTTCTCATCGTTTTCTCTCGTTGTGCAATGTACGCGAAATATGCGTCTTGTCGGGAGTGCCGTGTAAAGTTTCGCGCGTCGGGAGTGCCGTAAAGTGTCGGGCGATCGTAATTATTCGTGTTTTCACGAGTGTCGTGAGTGCTACGAACCAAGAGAGGAGGAGGAGGCCCAGGGAGGCTCGGGCAACAACGGAGCAACTGTGAGGTATATGCAAAATAAAAATATTTTTTTCTAAACTGCATTGTTTGTAAAATATTTGACCGTTTCTAGAGTTTCAAAACACTCTATGCACACTCACACATATATACATAATTTGAATATTTTGTTTTCAGATCCAATGTGCTGTATGCTGTATACTACAACTCCGTTATTACGCAGGTATCGGTGAGTGAGAAATTGTTATAACATTTCTATAGCGGTAATTCCCCTTGTACTTAAAAAAGAGACCATAATTACCTTGTGAAAGGCGACAAGGTAGCTCCCCATGTGGGATTCTGCAAATTCGTGCAGAGGCCATCGTATCGCCGATATTTGCCCGGCCTACATTCCACATTGCTGAGAAAAGCGGGACAGACCTCTTGGATAAGCGTCTTCGAAGTATCGATCAGTGGTAGACTTTTGTCTATCTCGTCGTAGGTCAGTCCATATCTAAATACCGATGATTAAAAAAGATCAAAAAAATATAAACGAGAACAAGAGAAAGAAAACACGACCGGGAAATAGGAAAGGGCGAGGAAGCAAATTTTGTTGCATAAGCATTGGATATAGACTTATCGTCATAGGGAGACTTACGTTTGCGCGAGATTCGTGGTAATATCGAGAAGCAGCTCGCCGATCGTCGCCAGATCTTCAGGTCGCCACATCTCCGATTTTGGTCTCGCGACATCTACGGGAGATGATTACGTATAAGTGACATAACAAGGTAAGGAAATAAATGAATGACATAAGAGATCGATGTCGTAATGAATTTATTATATCCGACCGATCATACGAGCAACACTCGCGAACATATTGTATTGATAGTTATCGACGATAATTTATATATGTAGACAGCGTGCAATTAATTTTTTCAAATAAAACTTAATATACTCACTAATGCGCTTCCTCGCTTCGATGTAAGCGTGATTTACGGCGTCGTACGTGATACAGGTTTGAACTCCTCCCGCGGTGGGGCTGCGAAAGAACAAGGATGAAAGTTAAACCGCATGCTCGCTCTTTTTCAATGCGGGTATTATTTGCGACCACCTCCTTTTCGCCTTTTTCTCCATATCATCGGGTTAATTACCTAACGCGTTTGTAGCCTACTTTCGTGAGAAGTCGACACTCTCGAAAGCCTTGCACGAGATTTGCGGACGAGCGTCTATATGCCTGCAGATATTTCATATTAAGGTAAGCCAAAACTATCCTAGAACGTGCTCTCTGTCTTTATGAGCGCGGGCGAATTGACTTTCACATATCCTGTTTCCATCGTGAAATGTATTGGCATTGACATGCCTTTCGTTGCCGACGAAGGTTGATTAAAACGATTTTGCGCGTTTCTTTATCCGCACAGCTTCCGCCTTCGATTCTTGCATCTCTATATGCTTATTACAGTTGTATTTTAATTGCTAATTTCAAATTCAAAATTTCTACATATTTTATTAAGATATGAATGCAAATTAATCTTTTTAAGAAAATGTTCGACAGTAAATGGTTGGAAAATAAATAAATATAAATACATATTAAAAATGCTTATCACCTATCGCACACGTGCGTGACATTTTTTACTGATATACAATTACTTTGAAGTATAGGTACGTAATTAAATTCCGTAAACGTTCTCCGAACATAGTATTTAGCATAAGGACCTTGTAACTTAATCTATTTAAAACATTGATACCGACTAATTTATTCTAGAGATCGGCAAAATGCTCTGAAAATCCGATCCGAACAGCGCGTATTACTAATTATAAAGTACTTAAGATGCGTAAAAATGAGAGAGCGGCGAAGAGAGAAAGACAGTTTTTTGTGTCTAATTGCGGTCGAGCGGTTCAACCGTTATGCTGCAACTGACGATAATAATAACGAAAACATTCTGTAATGATGCCGTGCATCGACGCACTTACCATAACTGGTCCGAGCAACGTCTATAAACCCATTCTCGCCGCCTGGTGATAAATGCGAATTACGCCAAGCCAAGGGAGAACCGAGGAGAGAGAGAGGAATTCCTTTTTCTCCCTCTCGATATACACATAAATTACATTTTACAGCTCGCAGCATTCGTACTTTAATATGCCACGTTTAATAATCACTCGCTGTCGCGAGCAACACCGAGGTATCCACGGCTCTCGAAAATAATCGCGCCTTATTCTCTCGCCGCGATCGTTTCGCGGATCACGTTCTTACGTTCGTTTCAAGCGCAGAGATTGACGGTTACGAGTCGGGATCATTTCGCGCATCGAATCTGAATTCCCACCTCTTTTTGCGCTCTTTAAATGCAATCTTTTTCGAAACAAGACTCGCTTTCACAGTCGACAGGCAGCACGCGCAATTTCGATCTCCAGATATCTCAGCGGTGTCATTTCGTGCGCAATTGCATGCGTCTCTCTCGTTATGTCGTGTCCCCGGGCACCTGCTTGACATTCCGAGCGCCTTCGTCCAAGTCAGGTGCGTGACATCGCTAATCGGACAGCGACAATGTCGTATACCGGCCGCCTAAACGATTGACACAGATCACGCGACTTGCGTACGCGCGAATGCCTGACTATATTCACTTCTCATTTTATTGAGTAACTATTTGGCTGGCTATATATTAATGTATTCATACGACTACGAGTGCGATATATTACATGAATTTTTCTGCATCTATTGAATTCTATTTTTCAACATTTATAATAATATATGTATTTTCCTTTTTTCAAAGAATCTTATAAATAAATTTAAAAATTAATCTTTGTTTTTTTTTGTTTATTTTGATTATCAGATAAGCAAAAATAGTTGCATCCATTTTTTATTAAATCTTTCGAGGAATAAATGAAAATTGAAAATTATTTCTCTTTCTATTCAAGGAAGAGAAATTATTGTCTTTTTAAAGATTTGGGCAAATTGAGTTCAGATTTATTTATATTTTGCGTAAAGCAGATAATAATTAACATCTTAATTAATCCTTTTTAATATTTTCGTGAATAATAATATTTAAATAAATAATGTATTCAATGTTTCACATTATAAAATAAATTGAATTTATACAAGTTGTTCGAATGTAAAAGCGCGCGCAATTAAGAGCAGTAATAAGATACTTTGACATGTAATTCTAATTGATTACTCTCCTCGATAATAAGGCCATCATTATCAAAACTATTTCGGCTACTACGATCTTTGGCAATTCAGTTTAAAGCGATTTTATCGTGACCCTCTTGTATTTCATTAGTTGCGAGCCTTGAGAAGGCTCAATTAGCAACAGTGAAATTCTTGTGCGTACAAGCTTAATCGTATAAACGAATAGTCTAGAATTTGATAACTGCCGCCGTTCGCATTCTCGTGTATCTGAACACTTAGATATATCGAATCTCTAGTTATTACGAAAGCCACGTTATAACCAATTATATGCATCAACAATGCATTTTTTTTCTAACAAGAACAAGACACGCAAGTTGACTCGATTTTGACGCTTGTTAAGTTTTTTTCCTCAATTCTCACTGTGTTCAGTAAATAATTGGCAACCGTAACCGCAACTGTAACCTTCGTAATCAGCACCTCGCCGCGGTCGAATTCGATTCTTATGAAGATTTCATGAGAGCACACGCAAACGATAAATACGGCCGTCTCTCGTCGATTACCGGGCGCGAAAAACGGCAGATAATCACAGGTTTCGTGTTTCGTTCGCACGAGGCACCTGGAAGCAAAGATTATAACTGTGGCACGATACGATAAATACAATTCTCTACACGATCGATGAATGGGACAGAACGGGCTTTACTATACGACACGTAACTGTTACTTTTGTTACATGACGCGTTTACGATTCAATACCATAAACGCGATCCTTTACCTGCATGGCAATGGCCGCTTTTAAAAGTTCAAAGGAAAACCTATTTTACAGTTGGTCCCCAATTAACCTCAATTGACATTTCCAATTTTGATTTTAATATTCAATTTATTTTGACACTTTAAGCAGTCAGGTCACCTTATTTTTAAATTATTTAATCTATAATTTTTTTAAAGTTACACTAAAAAAATTTATTAACTTGACTAAACTAAATTACTATTTTGTTAATTGAACATATATTAGTATTTAAGTCAAATGTATGTTTTGTTAGATTTTATATATTATATTTAATTTAAATATTTTTATAAATTTAATTAACAAAACAATATTTAGTTGACAAATTTAGTCAAGTTAATAAATTTTTTAACGTACTTTTTAAAATTTTTAAGTGAAAAACTTTTCGTTTACTATTAGCTTGAAGTACAAAGTACGGGTTTAATATAATACAATTACTGTATAAATAAAATCTATCAGAATTTATAATTGTTATATAATAAACATAAAAAATATGGATTGAAAAGAGGAGCAAGATTTCAATTGGAAAATGCACGTGATGCAATCTTTATCTAGTCATATATTAAACACGTGGTACAATCTTCCTCTCGAAGTTCGCGTAGGACGTACTGTACATATGTACAAATGTTAAATAGAAAACCGGTAAGAACGCATTGGAATTCACCAGTCCTGTAGGAATAAGATGATAGTGAAAGTCCTGGCGGCTAAAGTTCCCGCTTTCTCTAATCCTTTAAATTCTAAAGTTTAGAATGTGTCGAAGATTTCATTATATAAACGTAAATTTTTCGATAAAATTGATAAACACGGTTTATAATGTTAATTATGCATTTTATAGTTCATAATCCAGGATAGATATCGAACTGATAAGATATAATTTTTATTTGCTTCTCTGATACCTTCATAATCACACAGACAAAAAATATGAAGTACCATAGTTAAATTTTAGATGTTTCTATATTACATCTGAAATTTAGTTATTATGCCTAAATTTCAAGTATATATAATATAGAAATATCTAAAATTTATCTATGGTATAGTTAATATTTTTCTTTCCATACCGCAATGTAATAATAAAGCATTATTGCATTTAAATGATTATCAATCAGCGAACTACATATATAATTTTGATAATACATAATAATTATATACATATTGATGAAATGATAAGTATACAGGCTGTCTTAATTAACTTGATACTTGTATAGTTATAGACACTAGACAGCAATAAAACCAGCTAATCGGCCGTAAAAATACAATTCACTTACATTAGTAGGACGCGAAAATTCACAGGTAGCGCGATGTTACTTTACGAAAGTTCACTCCAGTTACTTCGGAGAAATACGTCGTGTTACCTTCGCATTGGCTTTCGCTAAATTAAGATCGCTATCGTCGCGCGGATTCATATTCGATCTTAATGGGAATACTTACAACGATCCGCGAAGTAAATTATAGGTGTAGTCGTAAACGCTGGTTCTACCGCGAGCATCCAGGATCAAGGCGCACTCTTCTCCGTTTGCATAAGAGTCGAAAGGCTGATATTGCAATCCGTTGCAATATGCCGTTTCCAACAGCAGCAGCAGCGATCCGATTATCGCGGATCGCGTCCATGTTATCGCGAATCTGCAACATTCCCCGCGCAAACAATTATCTCTCTCACGTCAAAGAGTATCGTGCAAAAGGCCGCTCGCCCTCAATGTTGTCTTAAATCACGACAATCGTTTATGCACGAATTGTTTCGTATCTTGTTGATCTAAAATCTACTCGAAAGATGACAGTACTATTATATTGAAACAATGAAATGCGCTTGTAAATCAACGTAGAATTTTTTTATCTTTCTTCTATGTATTTCGCTCATAACATATAAAAAGATTAGAAAAATTGTCGTAATAATACACGAAGCTAAAATTGCCGAACAGAATCATATATTTCATTGCAAATGCAAATTTTAATTGAAGCAGTTAATTAAGCCTTGACAGTTTCTGCATAATTCATACTTCAAAGTGAATGTATAATATTATACATATGAAATATGTATTATAATAGATCTGCTATTCCATATCTCTTTCATATTTTAATAGAAAAGATAGGTTATAAACAATGCATTTTTAGAAAAATTAAAAATATGAAAAAAATGAAAAAAATATATTACTTTCTTTATTGTTATTAACATTATTAATTATACACATTCAGTTCGGTTTTATGATCATAGTTCGAATATCTAATACCAATATAAGCAAGTAAACTCCAATATTTCATTGAAATAATGATTTGATTGATATCGGATTAATATATATTATATATATATCCATTTAGATTTTTAAGCAGTAGATTAGGTTGCCTTGCAAGCGCAATAGAATTGCAATCTCAATAAAGAAAATATGATTATCAAATGTCAGATATGATCGAATATATTATATTTCCAATACATAGCAGTTATATAAAATATTATATTATACATTGTGAAAATTTTCTTTAATTTTATTCTATTTTATGAAATTAAGTGTAGAATTTCCGGGTATGAATTCTTGGAAAACTTACAAGTAAAAATAATTTAATTTTTTACATATTAATATTTCGATTAGATGATAGTGTTTAATTCTGCGATATACATACACAATAAAGAATAAAATAATACAAAAAATCGTAAAAAAATTAATCAATTCTGTCGTTACGATTATTTATTGGTAATGATATAGCGAAAGAATTTAATAATTTTAAATTCTATAAAGAATTAATAATAAATGATAAAAAGAAAAAATGAATTTTTTTCGGTAGAATCAGTCTGTCGCGAAGTCACAAAATGTTTTGATAGTTCATCATAATGAATTCTCTTTGAACATTTTCTGGCATAATAGCTTGATAATATCTCTTTCACGGTACGTGCGTTCTTATTTAAGCATATTGCATTCGGTGCATTCTGAGCAGCAGAGAAACTGGGATACAAACGTCGAAATTCTTCCATAATCACTATTCCTTTTAACTCGAAAAAGTATCGCGGACGTCTTTTCTCTCCATAAGAGTTACTTCTATATTTTGTAATCTCACGTCTGGAACACATTTACATAATATGTAAGCGTGAAATTGATACAATTGCACGATAATGAACACATTTCGTATATGTAATATTTACAAATGTTGTGCTGCTCTAACAATATTGTGATGAATATTATTCTTAATTTTCGAATTTTACAAAGAAAACATTTTTTTATTAATTTTATTGTTCAATGATTTCTTGCATTTAAATTAGATTTTGAATATTAATCGCCATTAAATATCTATTTGCATACTCTTTAAGATATATTATGATCATGTATTTCGGAATTTTTTTAGACATGTTAAAATATATAACAAAATACGATATATATATATATATATATATATATATATATATATATACTACAGAGGCTAATATAAGTTTCCATGAATCAAATTTCACCTTGAACTTTTTAGTTAAGTATAATTTTAAGATTATTAAGTGTCGTACATCTGTGCTCCATTCACCGTTTGTCGTGAAATTACATTAATGTGCGGTTTACATTGAAGATGTTAGAAGTTAGAAATGATTGACGAGTATTCGCGGTCGCTTTGTAGCTTGCTAGTGATGAAAGTACCTTTCGTTCCACATAATAAAAAGATAAAAATCGATCAACACTTAAAGCGATATGAAATCTTTTTTCTTGGTCATCTCGAACATTTCGTATGTCGTGAGCAACATAACCCGGTAAACTGGTCCTCATATATATTCGGTAATCTTAATTATAACAATTAATTAATCGATTTTAATGAGAATTACTTGTGATTTTAAGGGTAATATCTTTGATATGCAAATTATCGCATAATTATTTTTTTTTAAGATATCTTACATATTTAAATTAGTAAAACTGTGCTTGGTACAATAATTTATGTTATTAGAAGTTTGTTTTTTTTCTCAATAATTACCAGCAATACTTTGAAATAAATATGTATTAAGATATTCTAATTCTTATTTTAATTAGATATAAAATTAATGTTTAATCTAAAGCTGATTTAAGCACACTTTTTTTAATTGTCTCTCTAAAGAAATGAAAAAAAATGTCATATATATTTTATATACTCTTGCTACATTGTGATTTTATGAAAAAAGATATATATTTCTCTTTTTATCAGACACGTAATTCAGTATTAATTAAAACTATCTACTGATTTTATGATGCTAAGTAAATATCTTACGAAATCGAAAGGAGAAATTACTTTTTTTGCGATCATTGAATGGATCATGGTTCATTAATTAAATGGCTATATATTGTTGATTGGTTTTTATAAAAACCACGATTTTATCTGATGAATTACGTCAATTTGGATTGATACTCCGCGTATCTAATCGCGTGAAATTCGATCGTGCGAAAAAGTGATCAGGAAGTGCACGAAAAGTGAAAATTCGTCAGAAGATCTGCCGTAAAATGTCGCAAGAAAGTTTTTTCCCATTATTATGCAATACTTTCCGTTCCTATACTGATAGATTACAATACAATATACAATAGCATTAAAAATGCAAAAATATGCATTTATTTTTTCTTTATATTTTGATTTATATAAGTATATTCTAACTAATTGCATAAATGATCTTCATTCTATAAGTAGAGATGAGCAAATAATAATTAAATTTAATTATTTGCATATGTATGTGTGTCTTATGTTATAACATAATTATAGTCACGATTGTCGAACTGATTGTCATTCTTCCAAATTATTCAACATCATAAGTCATAAGCCAACTCATAAGTATTATTTTTATTTAATTTTATATGCATACAGCAACATATATATTATGAAGTGAATCGGTTCATTAGGAAAATGCAGAGAGAGAGAGAGAGAGAGGAAGAAAGATATATAGAGAGAAAAAAATCGTGATTTTTTCAAAGAGAGTATGTAAATATATTAACATATTTTTATCGCGCCTTATTTTATTTAAATCAAAGTATGACTTATTTAAAAGCAATGGAAATTATTATAAAAATGTTTCATTAATTTTCATGAGTGATGCAATTTAAGAATAAATCTGAAATTTCGGATAAAAATATGCGATATTATGTTGATTATACAAACAAATTACAAGGATCCATATTATGCAATTGGCTAGCGTCTATCTTAACAAATTGGAATAATTGTTGAAAGATTATAATGAGAGCTTTCGCGATACGCTTCGTTAATCGGCTACCATCATTGCACCGGCTTAACATCGTGCTGCAGCATCTCGATTAGATACAATAATTGCCATTAAGTAGGCGGACAGTGATCGACCGTCCCGAATGTCTGCGAATCGCCGCCACACAGACCGGTATTTTATTTGACAATTAAAAACCATAAATGATTTACTAGCTTGGTGAAAGGATTCGAAAGCGGGTAAAAGTATATATATATACCCGAGGCTTGCAAAAGAACGATTTTGAATTACGAAACATTTCATCTCATCTTCATATCGTGCGGTTCAAAGTTCTACTCTGGTTTCGTGTGTGTCATCTCGCGTGCGTTTACCTAGGGATAGGGAAGTTGCGCGCGTGATGGACGACTGAGATAAAGTTGATCGAAATAAAGCGCGGATTGCTTTCTCGATCCGCGCATCACGCGGATTCTCCTTTCACTATTCGTAGCATTCAATCCGCGCGATGCTGATAGACATGAAAAGAGTCACGTGCACGTCTCCTGCGAGACGTCGCCCTCTTTTACACCCCGACCCAGTTCTCATAATTACTCGCGATCATTTTTTTCGAGGCTTTTCTCAAGGAACTTCATAAACTCCTCTTTCTCACGTTCAAGATGCTCAGGAGATTAGAAAAGCTGATAGAAAATGATTATAGAGATTTATAGCGTCGCATACGCGTCTTTTTAATCTTGGAAAGCTATACAAATGTGTGAGAAATTTATATTTATCAATGACATTTAATTGCGTTCATTTAATCGTTCATTTAACACATCTGGGAAAAAACTTAATTTGTATAAGAATGTTGAGAAAGATCAAAATTAATTTCATTAAACATTATATTTTGTATTACTAGCTCCATAGTACGATATATAGACAAAAACTAGTCATGCTTAACTTTGATAGTATAATTTTCGTGACATTGAAACTGTTACATTATATTCTTGATCTACTTATTTTAAGAAATAATAAAGTAGAACGCATATGTCTGTTACATATCTGTATGCAATTAAAACATGTTTCATAATTTTTATATAACATAAACATGTAGTAATTAGCTACAATAAGATATGTATGCTACACGTATTATATAAATATTAAATACAAAGTATAAGAATTGTATCTATTATATTAAAAAATGTATTCAATTTTGCGGTCAACTTTATTATTCACAAAGTGGCGCTTTCTCCCTCTATTTTAGTTTGAGGAATATAAGATTCAGTATCTACTTGTAATACCTCTGACACAAATCAACTTTTACTAGTGAAGTATGACAAATGGATATAGATAAATCTTGCTAGAGATTCCAGTTAATTTTAAAGCTGTTAATATTAAGATACCGCATATACGAATAGATTGAGATAGGAACGCAATAATATCTATATCTGTAAACTAATAATACATAGTCAATAGCAATGAAGAAATTGATACCTCAAACAATTCTTATATAGTAATATACAATACATATCATTATATAAAAATTGCAAGTATTGCATTATAATTGTATCTTTTAAAAATTATCGCATATTTGAATTATTAAAACATTTAAATTAAAATCACATTTTAGTACTCCTTCAAAACAATCACAGAATATCACAATTGCATATACAAGAATCCATGAATTATAGATCTGCATAATTTCTTTCTTATCAGTAACTACAAAATCGAGAAAAAAAAATGTAAATGAGAGTCTTAAAATTCTCCCGAGCGATGCTCTATCTTGGCAAGAGTCCCACGGTACTTTGGCGCGCGATACGCATAGAATTCCTTATAATACGCGATTCCATTACATCATACTTACCCGTCGTGCATTCTACCACCGCGCGCTCCACGTTGCTGAACTTCCACGACGGTTTGCGATTGGCGACGAAATTGCCGCGTCCGGGTTGAAATTGTCGATTTATACGATCTTTGGAATGCACTTGTTCAACACACGCGACAAACGGGAAGGAACAGTCGGAAATAGTGTAATGTTGTGTATTTCTGCCGGCGAATGCACGCGTTCGAGATATTAAAAAAAAAAAGAAAAAAAAAAAATGATCACCGCGTTTGACGATTCCTCGATCGTGTTCGTACAATGATCGACCACTTCTACTTGCCGAATAGTCCAGCTTGCGGCGATCGGTCACCACTTTTAGTTTCGTTCCCGAGTGGTTGTTTTAAAGCGGCTCACACTGATCGACTACCTCAACCTACCGTGATACTCGTGATCGTATCCTGCCATGCGTGCCGCACAGTTCCTTATCGAGGTGCAGAGTGTGCACCGTCCTGGTGGTGGAAAGCTCCCCAAAAGCATGGTGCTGACTTGTGGAAAGGAAACGAGAAGGGGAGGGAGTCGGGAGAGGGAGAGTTGAAAGGAGACAAGAGAGAGAGAGAGAAAGAACGAAGTGGAGGAAAGTTATCTTATCTTACGTTATGTGCTCGCCAGGTGAGCGAGAACCACGAAGAGTTAGCGACAGACGCAAAGAAGAAGGAGACGAAGGAGGAGGCGCAGCTCCCGCGTCCATGTCTTACTTTCCTTTCTCTAAACGAGCCGCACGCTTGTTGCCCTCGATTCGAGACATCCCGCCGGTCTCCGAAATACGCGCCGAAAATTCGCCACTCGGCAAATCCGACAATGAATGCTCTCTTTCTCTTTGTCACATTTCGCTTTCAAAGGGAACAACGGCGCGGCAAGATCATTCCAGCACGCGATCTCTCTCAGAGATTTTTTTGCAAGAGAATCAATATTTGCAGGATACGAAAGACAAGTGTCGTAAATTTGTTCGGTGTCCGAAAAAAAAATCGTACATTATCATTATCCCGACATTTAGATAATATAAATTTTCTCAAGCTTAAACGATTATAATTTGTTTATCAGTTATGCAAATCAACTTGCATACGTTTTCGAGTAAAATCATTTGAGCACTGCAGCTCGCATGAATGCGCATTGCAGTACTCTTTATGCTACATTTCCTTTACAAAATTGTATACGAGATGCGCAGCACGAAATCGTAAAAGGTTCAATTGCATTTTGCATTTGTTACGCAATAAGTTATTCATAGTATTTAGTTCTATTACATTACATAAGTTATGAAAGTCGTACTAGATTTCTGTTAGATACTATAATTGATTGCATAATTGATTTGTATAATATACATATATTTGGCCGATATTGACCGAGCATGCATGAGGAATCGATAATTTATGGTATAAGATCTCATTCACATCGCGTTCATATCACACAGTAATTAGTTCGTTGCGCTTTATTTTTTTTTATAAATTCCTGATTGCGATGGTCGATAATGCTCGGTTGTCAAGCAGCAGACCATGATAACGCAACAGTGAAAAGTATTGCACATTTTCTCTGGCCTGGAATCAATTTTATTCTGCGATGGTTAATCACAGAAATTATAAAATACCATAAGAAACTGTGACAGTAACTTTGATGACAAGAATTTACATTATTTATAGTTACTTCATTTGCACGCTTTGCATTTTATTGCTAATGCATGTATATTGAACGTGGAAACTAACGCGAAATCAATTAATGTATTCTAAAATACATTTGAAAATGCATTATGTACAGAAGCTGAATACACTTACATATATATACAATAACTTTGTTTATGAATTAATATATCTCTATATAATTATTGAAACTTTTAGATATAAAATATTAAACTTTTCTTAATGGTTATATCACTACAGCAGTTATCAATCGTGATTTTTACTTATCTTTTATGTCGGTTGTTTAGATTAACTCTGATTAAATAAAAATATTATTTTTAACAATAGTAAACTCCAATTAATTAAATAATTATATTTAATATAACAAACAATAATAAGATTTTAAATTAAAAGGCAGTTTAATGTGATTAAATTGGTAATATATATAATTAATATAAAAAATGATTCATAATTCATGGACAATTATTTCATTATAGCATCCTTTACGTATTATATTTCCCTTTATAAAATATCTATAAAATATAACAATCGATCTATTTTTTATTTGCCTTTCACTTTTCTTTTCAACTCAAAAGTTTTGCCATCGTATATAGATCACATTCCGGGACGATAGTCCACGACTTACGAAAGAGAGATGTTTAGAACGTACTCCCCCAGGCGACATATCTATCTTCATTCTATAATAAAGAGACGTCATGTATGTATGGCTATAGATATATCGTTCATTGCAAAAAAATTGATTTCATACATGTGGCGGTTCATGATACTTCATATATTTACAATAGATTATGAAATCCCCATTTCTCAGCATTTAAAATTGTAAACAAGTTTTGAAAAATGATTGGGCTCTTCTCAGTTGCATTAAATTATTAATTAAATTGATTTTTATATTATTATCAACATTTGAGCATAACTTTTTTTACACTTGTCGAGAAATATAAAATGTTAGAAAACATTTTTAAATAGCATTATTAGTCTTTTCAGTGAAAATAAACATTAAAATAACATAATAATATAGAGATACAAATAAAATACAAAAATAACAGAATTTAATATTTAAATTTTTATAATGTTTTGTTGAAGAAAATACCATCGTGCAAAAATAATAATTTGATATGTAAATATGTAAATAATACAGTTTAATTAATTCGATGTCTACGCAAATAACAAGTTCTATAGCTATATATATTGGACGTTTATATTTATATATTTTTTTCAAATTCTTTATGAGTTAATTTACAAGTTAATGAAATGCAAATATTACATACACACACTTACACATGCGCGCGCATTATGCAATTTATACAGTAAATAAAGCAAGGATTTATTTTGAAATAGACATTCTATAATATCACTTATTAATTAAGCTTATACGATAAATTGTACATTGTGCAAAGGGACCAATTGTATATAATTGAGTCTTGAATTGATATACAGAATTGAATTGTTCTAATAGCATACGCGAGAAAATTGTATAGAGAGAATTGCAGTTTCCTTTTCTCGATTTAATATCTCGTTTCTCCGTGACCTCGTCCGCGAATAAATAATTCAACCAGAATGTTAACTCGCGTCCTTTCTATCACATATATGCACACATAAATATACGATAATAAACAAGAAATGGACTATATTCAATATTTCTTTCATAAAGCAAAAAAAACTAATTCATTAGAAGTAAAATTAGATTTAGTCATTAAAACTGTTTTTTAACTATAAATTCTGATAAAAAATGTGACATATATTTTCAATCATAAAATTTATTTGAAATTACTCTTACAACTAGTTTAATTGTTTCTCTGAAACTTTACTGAATTAAAGGACTTTTAACTTCCAATATTACTATCTATTATGTAATTAAGCCTCAATTTAACATATTAATTAAAAGAAAAATTGTCCCAAAATTGATCAAAAAACATTTTTTTAATTTATCACAATTTCGCAAAACGTTCTATATACACATATTAATTGTCTGATGTATGCAAATGCATTCGTACGTTTGTTTCCAAATTACGTAATGATCTTCTACCATGAATATTTACTCTGCCGCGTAATCACTTGAGTGGATTAAAAATCTTAATCTGTAATTGGTACGCTCTAATTGTAAGAAGAAGGAACGACGTATCTAAACAAACAAGCGTGTTTGCGTGGCGAAATCATATGTCAAACTAAGAGATTCATATGCTTTTATAATGAAAAGAGAACAATTAAACGATTGACGCAACTGTAGTATTCCCGCGGATAATAAGTGAGAGCCGCACACCTTTTCGAGAGAATTTACATGGTGCGTTGACTTCCTTCGCGCACGTGAATAATGTATGAATGTGAAACGGGGTGTAAAGTTTAACGTGTGCTACCTTAATTCGACAAACTTGTTTTTACGTAACATCATTAACAGTATTTCGATATACATCGAAGCCTGGCGAAAATGTCAGATTCTCTGACAAGAGTACTCTAATATAGTTACGAAAAGTATTGGGTTGTTCAAAAAGTTATTGCGTTTTTTTCATTTGATTTTCAGGTGCGTTTATTTAATATACGTAATGAACATTAATCAATAATATATTGGCCGTTTTGTTCAATGACCTTTTGCCATCTCTCGGGCAATTTCATAATACCGCGTTCATAAAACTTCCTATCTTTCTCTGCGAGAAACTTGTCAAGGTGCTGTTTGATGAGGTCTTCAGAAGCAAACGTTTTACTGTTCAAGGAGTTTTGCAAGGAGCGAAATAGATGGAAGTCTGATGGCGCAAGGTCTGGGCTATATGGTGGATGTGGCAACACATCCCAACCAAGCTGCAATAATTTTTGCCGAGTGACCAAACTTGTGTGTGGTCTCGCATCGTCGTGGTGAAACACCACACCCTTACGATTGATCAGCTCGGGACGTTTCTGTGCGATGGCATCACTTAATTTCTGTAGCTGCTCACAGTAGACATCGGAATTGATCGTTTTATTCTGTGGAAGCAGCTCATAGAAGACTGGTCCCTTCCAATCCCACCAGATTAACAGCATCACTTTCTTTTGGTGGATGTCCGCCTTTGCTTGCCTTTCCGGTGCTTCATCTCGCTTACTCCAACTCCTTTTTCGGCTCACATTGTTGTAGACAATCCATTTTTCGTCGCCCGTGATCATACGCTTCAAGAACGGATCGTTTTCTTCGCGTTTGGTGAGTTGATCGCAGACGTTCATACGCTTTGTCAGATGAATTTCTTTCAACTCATGCGGTACCCAAATATCGAGCTTCTTCACGAAACCAAGCGATTTCAAATGTCCATGAACACTTCCAATGGACACTTTTAGAGCGGTAGCAAGCTCCCGAACCGTTGAATGCTTATTTGCTTGCACCAATGCCTTGATTTTATCGTCGTCAATCTCGGAAGGCCTACCGGAGCGATGAGCGTCTTTAACCGAAAAATCACCACCACGGAATTGGGCGAACCAGTTCTGGCACTGACGTTTTTCAATGACATTTCTGCCGTAAACTTGACGCAACTCTTCCCTTGCTTCAGTTGCTTTCTTCCCTTTTTTAAAGTAATAAAGCAAAATATGGCGAATATGCTCTTC